GATCGCAACTGGTTGCGATCAGTCCGACCGCACGACGCAGCAGAGATGGGCACACAACATTAAGTCGGGCATGTCCTCCTACAAGGGGATTGTGGACGAACGTCAAACCTACTTGTAAAGCAATAGCCCCAAATCATCGTCCACGAAAACTACGGAAACATCGTCCCCGAGACTGTTTTCTATCCTACTGCAGAGGGACACGCCCGACTTAAGCATAGCAGAGGTAGGCGACGAACCCAGGGGGGAAATGAAAAGGAGAAGGCCTTCTCAGAAGGCCGCGGGACTTCTTAGAAGTCTGGGGGGCTTCTGAGACGTTTCCTTGGCCTATTTCGAATACAGGCAAAACTTTTCAGAAGCCCTCTCAGAAGTCCAGAAACTTCTCAGAAGCCTCGGAAGCCCCGCCCCTTCTCATTTCCCCCCCGCGCCCGCCGCCAAAAAGGAAGGCACGACGCCCAACGGCGGAGAAGGCGTCCAGAACAGGCCGCGGCCGCTGCCCTGGGCGGGCGGCCTGCCGCCTCCGACGGAGGCCGCCCGCGGCCTCAAACGGACAGCGAGCCCTGCTCGAGGATGTGCGGGAACTGCTGGTGGTCTTGGCATCTCACATGGCGGGCCTGCTTTCCACCACCACCACCACCACCACCACCACCACCACCACAAGTTGTAGGGTGAAGGAGGAGGAGAAGGAGGAGGAGGAGGAGGAGGAGGAGGAGGAGGAGGAGGACCCTCTCCCCCTCCAACTTCTGGTGGCGGTGGTGGAACACGGGCCCATCATGACAGGGGATCTGCCGACCCCTATCCCAGGCTGTGGGAGGTTGTCGAATGGACTTGAAATGTTGGGGCCCGGCCCTGGTATATACCATGGGGGGATCTCCATCCTCCATGGGGGTGCGTCCGAGTACCGAATGGCCTCTTTGGGGGGTACCCCAGATTTCGTAATAAAGGGAGGGGGGTCTCATTTCGGGGGGGTCTCTTCCAGGCTGTCTTGGAGGGCTTGGGTCTGGGGACGATGTTTTGGAGGGTTCTCCCACGGTGGCTTGTCTTGGAGGGTCCAGACCCCCTCCCTTTTATGACGAAATCTGGAGTACCCCAGGAGTCCCCTCCTTTTCTCGGCGGCTTCAGGCTGCGCCTAAGAGCCCAGGGGGCGGGGGACAGGGAGCGATCCCTCCGTCCCCGCCTCGACCGCGCCGCGGCGACCTGCCCCGGTCGGACATAAGGGGCCCCCGAGACGACGGCGGCCCTCCGGCAGGGCCCAGACGTCCGCTCCTCTAGTCGGCCCGAGGCCCCCTCCCGGGGTCGACGCTGGCCTCAAGTCGGGCCTGTCCCCCTACAGGGGGATTTTCGACGAAACATAGAAAATACAAAAATAATCTAAAAATAGTCCCAAAATAGCCTGGGGACTATTTTTTGAATATTGTTTGACCTTTTTGGGATATCTTTGGGGTACCTGCGGCCTCCCCTACAGGGGGATTTTCGACGAAACATAAAAATATGACCCCAGAGAGACCCCAAAAAGGTCAAACACAGTACTCAAAAAACAGTCCCCAGGCTATCCTGGGACTATTCTTATCTTTATCATCTCGGTGTATCTGTTTCCTATTTCTCGCCGAAGCTCCCCCCTGTAGGGGGACAGGCCCGACTCAACGCTGGCCCGCTTCGTCCAAGGCCCGCTTCGTCCAAGGCGGGCCCAGCCGTGGCGAGACGAGCATCCCCCCCCCCTAAGTAGGGGAGGCCGCGGGTGCCCGCGGTCCGGCGGCAGGAGGAGGGCCGCCCGCCGCCCCGGCCCTGCTCCGAAGCCCCGGGAGGGCAGCCGCTGCCCCGACGGGCCCTCGTCTGCGCTAAGGGGGGGAGCATCTCAAGGGGCCCTGGGACACGCAAATAAGTACACACAAATACATGGACTCCCCACATTTTCCAATCTTTCCTGGGCTTTTGTCCTCCCCCCCACTTCCCATATTTTCTGGGGAATCGCCGAGTAATTGTGTCTGCGTGTTTCTGTCCCTCCTGAGCATTGTTTCGCCGATCCCCGTCCCCGGCGGCGTGGCCTGGGCCCCACGGGCCGATTTGCCCCCCTGGATGGGGATACGGGTCGTTCCCTTCGGGTTTCGAGGGGTGTATCCCCAACTGGGGTGGTAATTTGGCGGGGGTCTCGAGGTTAAACGATACCGACTGGGGGAGGGAGAGGATGGCGGATGGACGAGTCCCAAAGAGCACCGATACAGTGGAGGCCAGTCCACAATTCGGCCCGCCGACGTCCCCGAAGGTCGACCCCCCCGGGCGGTGGTCAAGGGGCACCCCCCCGCAACGGACCACGGCTCCCGCGAACCGACCCAGACACCCGGCCGCTCCATCACCACACTCCCCTACGGTAGGGGCCCGACCACAAGAAACCTCGCACAACCCAACCCTGAGACCCCCAGGACGTCCATGGATTCGTGGTGTGGGAACGTCTCGCTTTCCATAGCAAAACCATCGAAAACCAAGAAACCCAGGGCACCCTGGAGGCAAGCAGGGTGTTTCTTGGCATGGGCCCCCACTGTAGGGGCTGTCGTGAGCGGCCAGAGGCCCGAGACGCTCGGTGCCTGTTGCACGGGAGCCTGTGTGGCCCTCGGCGCTGTCCGATGTGGGCCTGATGCGGGCCGGATCTGGAACACCGTCGGGACCGGATTTGGGCCCGGTACGGACTGCACTCGCCCCAGTACGATGGAGACGAGAAAGTCCGAGCAGGGGGACGAGGAACAAAAGGGGCGAGGAGGAGCAGGAGGAAGGGCCAAATGGTGCGGCCCAGAGGCCGGAGGGCTGAGCTCCAGAGAGACGAGAAGAGAAGACCCAGGCGTCCCGCCGCTCCATCAACACACTCCCCTATAGGGCTGGCTCCTCGCCCCGAGAAATCGCGTCTTCGACGGCCCCGAGGCCCTGCAAAGAGGGCCCCCCGAGGCCGGAAGCGGCCCCAGAGCGAGCCGCCGATCTCGAGGCCCGGCGCCCTCTGGGGAGGGGCTCGCCCAGACTCCCCCCGTCGAGCCACGGCGAGATCGCGGCGCGAGGCTTTTCGTTCTTTTCGCAACCTGCAGGGCGCTCCCCGGGGCCTCCGGACCGTCAAACAACGACCCCATGGAGAAAGCACGACGTTAGAGGTGTTTCGTCATCTGCGCAACCTGGAGGGCGCTTCCCGGGCCTCGGGGCCGTCAAAGAACGACTCCAGATGCGAAGCCCGTCCTGGGGAGTGGGTCGATACCTCTGGAGGTCGACGTTGTGAACAAATCATGACGTCGAGGATGAAGGGGCCCACAAACACACCAATGAAAAACACACAAATACCACCATTCCCCCCATTTTCCCATGTTTGGTTGGTCTTCGCCTTCCCCCCCACTTCCCACATTCTCCCATATTTCCGGGGGAATCGACAATTCATTGCGTCTGCGTTTTGTCCTCCCTCCTGCGAAGATCTGGGATCGGAGGCGTGGGCAGGCCGCCGTGCGGCCTAGAGGGAAGAGAACTATGCACATGCACCGACTCTGGCCAGGCCCATCCTGAGCCCAGGATCGGTGCATACGCCCTCCCACCTTGGCCAGGAAGGCATATGCACCGATCAGGGGGGCGTAAGACCCGGGTACAGAGGACTCGGAAATCCCCGACGAGGTCGTCAAAAAAATGACGAGGCCGAGCCTGCATTTTGACGAGGTCTCCCGCTGCAGACATCCCACGAAACTCCTCCTCGTCAAAATCCGAGGCGCGGTCGTCAAAAATCGATGGCGAACCCGAGTCCTGGCAAACCCGGGTCTTACGCTCCCCCGAACCGATCCCTGGTCAAGGCTGGGCCTTGCCAGGATCGGTGCATGTGCATAGCTCTCTTCGCCCGCATGCCGGCCGCCGTGCGCCGGCCCAGCCCCGCGCCGTCCGGCGCGCGCCGTCCCCGCGCGTGGCGCGCGCGCGCGCTGCGCGCGCGCTGGCTCTGGACTCCTCCCCGGGGCGGCAAGGCGGCGAGCGGGGGAGGAGGAGGAGGAGGAGGAGGAGGAGGAGGAGGAGGGGGAGGAGGAGGAGGAGGAGGAGGAGGAGGAGGAGGAGGAGGAGGAGGGAGGAGGAGGAGGAGGAGTGGGCGCCGAGCCACCCGGTGCGGCCGCCTCGACCTCGGCCGGCCCCTCCGCACCCCTCCGCGCGATGGGGCGGGGGGCGCCGCCGACGACGGCCTCCCCAGCCCGAGCGTTGGATCCCTGGGGTCAGGTCGGGCATGAGCCCCTGCGGGCGAGTTTGCGAGGAAGAACAGCAAAGAATCGGACACGTGCTCAAACATGTACAAACAAGTATTGAACGTGTTCGTCCCCAGGCTTTTTTTTAATACTATTTCTGAATGTTTCCCCTGCTCGAGCGTTGGATCCCTGGGGGCATCGAGGAGGCGGGCCTCCACCCAGGGGACCGACAGCAGCGGCGGCGACCTGAGGAGCAGGCCGCGCGCAGACCACCATGCGGCGGGGGGTGGAGGAGGAGGGGGACGAGGAGGAGGAGGAGGAGGAGGAGCAGGAGGAGTAGTAAGAGGCCTCCCAGGAGGCCCAACAAGCTTCTCAGGAAGCCCAGGAGGCCTCTCAGGAGGCCCAAGAGGCGTCTCAGGAGGCCCAATAGGTCTCTCAGGAGGCCCAAGAGGCCTTCCAGAAGGCCCAAGAGGCCTCCCAGGAGGCCCAAGAGGCCTCCCAGGAGGCCCCCCAGGAGCCCCAAGAGGCCTCTCAGGAGACCCAAGAGGCCTCTCAGGAGGCCCCAGAGGCCTCTCAGGACGCCCAAGAGGCCTCTCAGGAGGCCCAAGGGGCTTCCCAGAAGGCCCAAAGAGGCCTCAGGAAGCCAAAGAGGCCGAGGAGGAGGAGGAGGAGGAGGAGGAGGAGGAGGGAGGAGGAGAAGGATGAGGAGCATGAGGGGGAGGGGGAGGGGGAGGGGGAGGGGGAGGTGGAGGAGGAGGAGGAGGAGGAGGAGGAGGAGGAGGAGGAGGAGGGAGGAGGGGAGGAGGGAGGAAGGACGGCGGCGAGCGCCTCTCGCGCTTGTGGCTCCTCCTCCCCTCCTGGGGGGGGGGGAAGGCAGAGCCTCGGTCGGCGAAAGGGGGGGATAGCAAAGGGGGGGATTGAGAATCAGCTCACGTAGCTGATTTTCCCGGCGCCTCCCGGCGCCGGAGGCGGCTATGTATCGAGGAATGGGCTCCTCGGTGAGGCCGAAACCAGCTGCATGCAGCAAATTTCGTAACCCCCCCTTTCCCAATCCCCCCCTTTCGCCCGACCCGAGAGCCCCAGGACTCGGCGGCGCGCGCACGGGGGGCAACGAAAACGGCCTGGGACCGAAACCGACGGACCCATACGAGGACGACGGCCGCGACGCCCTCTCGCGAACCGAAAACGGCCAACCCGCGAAATCAACGTGTCAGGGGTAGGTCTACCAACCTCCGAGCAGGGGAGGGGGGGGAGGCTTCCCCCAAAGGGAGGCGCCGGCCCTGCATCCACCGACGGGGCCTGTGCCTGCTGAGAAGCAGGGGTGCTTCTCGGAGGCCTTGCCCCCCTCCCCCTGCCCCACTCTGCGCGTGGCCGGAAGAAACGCTCGACTGGCGAGCAGAGCTCCGTCACCCGCGCCCCAAAAGTGCAGGGCCGGGGACGGAGGACGTAGGAAGATGGAGTAGGAGGGGATTGGGGGCGTAGGATGACGAAGGAAGAGGACGTAGGGCCCCCGCCCCCTTCCCCCGTCTGATCGTCGCGCCCCTCCCCTCCGAGCATCGAATCGTACCCGAAACGCTGCGGGGCGACCTCGAGCTCCAAAGACAAAGCCTGCCCATGCAGGCTCGCATAAAGACAACGCGATCCCTGCGAAGGCACAGGAGACCATGCCAACATCCAAATAGTCGTATATGGGCGCCCCTGGGGAGGACCCTGGGAAGCAACTCCTGGATCTTCGTGAGAACGACCAGGGTAGGCAGCCACATGTGAAGCTTTAGCTTTACCCATGCTGCCCAAACTTCGGAAAACGTGGCTGGGGAACAGAAGCTGCAGCATGTCACGATGTCTGCAGCCGAGTGAATCCAAGCAAGGGCGTCCGATACCCAAGCGTCGATTGGACCCGTAGGAATAGGTCTCGCAACTGGTCGAAAAATTAGGGAGCAGCTTCTCGGAACTCATCGTAAGAACGATTCTGATCTATTGAACCCAATTGATGGGCCACTACGCCGTGCCAGGCCGGAATAATCCTGGGAAAAATGCGGATCATGTGAACTTAAATGGCCTATTTCAAAATATGGCCAGATTTCTACCACGGCTATGCCAACGCCGATGCTGAAGTGAACCTCCTACGAAATGCATCCCAACATGCCCTGGATCGGACGGAACGGAACGGAACGGGATCGAAGTCGGATCGGATCCGTTCCGTGAACACAACATTGGATCGGATCGGAAACGGATCGCATCGCCAACGAAGTGGCCTCGAATCTGACCAGCATCGCATCGCCGCGCCCGGCCCTGGCCGGCGCCGGCCGATGCGGGAGAGCCGGACCGAAATCGAATCGAATCGCATCGGCTCGCATCGAAATCGAAATCAGAAGCGAATTGGCATCGAATCGTAGCCGAACTGCGCTCGCGGCACACCGTCAGCGGCCCCTGCGGCCAGAGCGGGCGCGCCCCCAGAGCCCGCAGGGCTCGTGCCTGCCAGCGGCCGCCACCACAGGGAACGCCGAATGCCCGCCACCCTGCCTCGAGGCAACTGGGCGGAGCGTCGATGTGAGTATGGCGGGCGGTGCTCCAGATTGCATACCACGCAGAGGGGGATGGTCGCAAACCTCCCAGGCGAGCAATTTTAGACTCCCCCCCTTCCAGGCCAGCCATGGCATAGCCGCCTTTTGCAAGGACCCCCCGGGACCCTCCAAGACAGCTCGAGTCGGACCTCCCCCCACAAGTCAGATCCCCACCCTCTGCATTCAGAGGGAGAACAACAAAAACAGAAGCATGAAACTTTCGACCGTCCGCGCGGGTTTCTTACATTTGCGCTGGGCCCCCCTCCCTGGCGCGCGGAGCGCGCCACGGGCGGCGCTGGAGGCGCCGCCAGAGGACCCCAGCGCAGATCCGAGAAATCCGCGCGGAGCGCCGAATATGTATGTTTATGTGTTGTTGTTCTTCTTCTTCGAGTATTGCGAAATTCGGAGTAGGCGTCTGGGTCACCCTGTCTTCTGATCATCAAAAATGACCTGGACCGATGCGTCACAGACCCACAAGGGTCGCGGCCGAAAGGCCGGGGCACCCCTGTGGGACAACTTGGTGCAGCGTCCGCAGGTCCTCCAGGGTCCGGGATCCTCAGTATGAAGCTTTGTGGGCCCCGGAAACGGCAGGGCTAGTTTTTACCGCTTCCAAAAAAGATGTCCCTTGAAAATGGAAACGGCAACAAAAACGGCGACCAGACGGCAAACAAACGGCTCCAGGATTGAAGCCGGAGCCGGAACCGGTCACAAAACGGCGACGGAACCGGTAACAAAAACGGCGTCGGAACCGGCAACAGAAACGGCAAGACGGAACCGGTAACAAAAACGGCCCTGTCGTTTCCAGGGCCCGCCAAGGCATGAGGTGTCGTGGATACTGTCTGAAGGGCCGACGGTGTCTGGAGGCCCGAGTGCCTCTTGGGGGGCCTGTAGTCCTGACGCGACCTAAAGAGGGCTCCATGGTGGCATCAGGGCGCTCCATGGGCGACCCGAGGTGGCTTCCAAGGAGCCCAGAAGCCCAAGGGGGCTCCCCTCAAGGGAGACGTGAAGTTCCCCGTTGTTTGGGACACGTATTTGCGTCATCTCCTGATGCTGCCCCAGCGCTCCGAGAGGGGCCCAAGGACGGCACGCGAGGGCCCCCAGAGGGCTCCAAGACGGCACACGGAGAGGCCCAAGATGGGCCCCGGTGGGGGAGCCCGAACGGACACGTGAAGCCCTTCGGCCCAAGAAGGCCCCCGAGATCGCCAGCAGGCCCCCAAGATGTCCGGCAGAGGCCCCCACGAGTTCCCCTGGACACCCGAACGGGAGAGCTCAACGCTCGGCGACTCGTGTGCCCCTGGACTTCTTGTAACAAGGTGTCTGATCATATGTGGATCTTGTGCGTGGGCGATCGCCGCGGGAGGAATGGCACATCTCTCGAAGAAGAAAAAAACGCCATGAACATAAGCCTTTGGCGCTCCGCGCGGACTTCTTGGATCTCGCCAGACGCCCTCAAGAGGCCCCCACACGCACCAGACGTCTTCAAGAGGCCCCCAGAAATGCCTCCCCCGAAAGGTATCCTAAAGAGACCCTTCAGGTGGAGGGATTGGCAGACTGCCTCTGGACCCGACGTGTCCCTGTTCAGTGCAAGAACTGAGCTTTGCGGTGCCGTCGTCAACAACTGCGCACGGAACAGACGAAGCGAACTCTAAAACAAATATGCCTACCGCCCGCGGGAGGAGGGAGAGAGGAGCCGCAGCACCCTCGGGAAAACCAGGACCAGGCATCGCAGATTCGGGGGTGGAGCATGGCTGGGGAGACAGCGATGCAGCACTACCCAGAAAGGGTGACAGCGGAGGCGAGACGGGATGCGCCAAAATGTAGGAATAATGGCTCAATCGAGGAAACACTGGATCTGCTCAAATGGCAACATGGCAATGCCGACCATGAAAACGGAATGAGATGCCACGTGCTTGTCTGACGCATTCAACAAGATCTATGCGGTGGGCGTCCTTTCACATGCTTGGACTCCTTCTTTTTGCCGCCTTCGTCCTTGCCGGAACTTGTGCGTGTGTGTGTGCAAACTGGTGCAGACAGATAAACGCAGTGCGCAGCGCATTCACACTGACAAACAACAGCACGACGCGCCTCTTGTGCAGGCTGGCTGCGGAACACCAGCGATAATCAAACATCAACGGGGGTGTGCTTCACCCCCTGGGCTTGTTTTGTCGGCAACGCTGGCAATCACAAGCGCGTCTGCAGAGTTGACTGGCCGCGCCGAGCACCAGGCACACCAGGCCAGGCGAAGAAGAGGGCAGCCGCTGAGGCGTGGGGATGAAGGATGCCCACGTGCAGCTATGCAGCAATTGTCTTCAAGCGGAACGGGCGAGCGACCCGTGCCATCGGCACAACAGCTCGGTCGATTGGCATGTCCGAGTTCCGATACAGCAGCCCAGCTCCCTGCCACTCTTGAACGCCGGGAGAAGGGTGCATTCACCCCTACTCTTGGGTCGGGCATGTCCCCCTACAGACGAATTTTGGACAGAAAGTAATACCTAGTCAAACTGTGATGACACAAATGCTCCAAAATAGTGGAAAAGTCGTCCCCAGACTATTGTTTCACTATTTTTTGATATTTCTCCTGTAGAGTGACAGGCCCGACTTAATCATACTCATGCTCGGAACGCCTGCTGCGTTGCCTAATATGGTATGTCTTTGTCTCAGCAGGGCGACGACCACAACCATCGTGCTGCCACACGAAACGCGGAACTCGGCGTTCCGCGCGGAGTTCTTGGATCCGCGCTGGGCCCTCCTGGCGGCGCCTCTGGCGCCGCCCCTGGCGCGCGCCAGGGAGGTGGGTCCAGCACAGGTCCAAGCAACCCGCGCGTAGCGCCACAAGTTTACGTATATTGCGATTTTTCTTCTTCGAGACAAGAAGCCCAACCCTAGAACCCCAGGACGACGATTGGTTTTTGGCGTGGGAACGTCACGGTTTCCATCCAGCAGAACCAGCGAAAACCCAAGAAGCCCTGGTCACCCTGGAGACAAGCAGGGTGCTTCCTGCCATAGGTTCCACTGTCTGGTGTGTCTCGTGCGACCGCTCAACGGGCTCTCCACGCTCTTCCGCTCGCTCTCCGCTAAAGTTATCAATGTTTGATGGCAAACGACCGTATCAGATCACACAGAAAGGATACCAGATCGTGTTGCACTGCGTTGAAACACGCCACGCCCAACCCAAACAGGACCCTCACGAATGGACCACGTCACAACGGGAGAACGAAACAGGCCAGTCCAAATGACAGTGAGCCGCCCACGGGTGCTTTAGTTAACCGCGGCGGACTGCAGACAAGTCGGGGGCAAACATAGCGAAAACAGCAACGAGGAAGCGCGGGAAGACGCGGTGGAGAAGCTCAGAACAAGGAAGGAACGGGAAACAATTTGCGAATTAATAGTTATATGGATGGAATTCGGAAGGCATGAAGAGCACGAACATATACAGGATGATGATAACCATAATACTAAATTCGAATAGCCACGTTCCTTGAAATTGCCGAACTTGCGTACGGAAACATGTGCGACATAATTTGTGAATAAATGAACCCCGTCAGCGTGTGTGAAGTTTTCCACTTGACTCGTCGTCGGCGTCATCGCCGTCGCCGTTCCCTCCTTTCCCTAATTAAACCTCCTCCTTAAGTGTCCCAACCAGAGGGACATCGAGCAACCTCGCAGTCGAGTCGAAGGGAAGCCCCTTCCCTTTTATTCCGCTCCAGCCAGGGGGGGTGTGGGGGCTAGAGGCCTCCCAACTTGGGTCCGAATACATGGGGTCGGAGGATCGCGCCGCATCGCCGGTACATCGCCGACGCATCGCCGATGCATCGGCGACGTCGACGATGCATCGGCGACGACATTGGCGAGGAGAAAATCGGTGTCCACAGTCAGCCGCATCGACGATGCATCGGCGTTGCGCTGCGACCGTCCGACCCAATGCACTTCAACCCCATCAGGGAGGCCTGCAAGGATGGGGGGGCGATGATGTGTGGGGGGCCCCCCTTGGTTGTGACCCCCAGCCCTCGGGACCCAGACCGGGAGGATTTTTTCCTTCCGATTGCTCGACGCACCAGGACGGCCCAAGAGGCTGCTGGGATCTCCCCGAAACAGACCAAAACGGCCCCGAGGCAGCCCCAAAACGGAAGAGGACCAACGAACACCGTGAGAGGCCCGGGGAGGAGCGGTACCGTTACCTGTCGGTGTCCTCGTCATTGGGGTTCTCGATGGAAGCCTCACGGTACTTGCAATGGGGAGCGACGGAATGGAAATCGGACCTGGAAATCCACGTATCCGCAAGCCCTGGCGGCGCGTGCGAGGCGCAGTGCCGTTGGACACGTCGTTGCCATTGTCGTCGTCGTCGGTTGCGCCCGACCGCCGAGACATCTCCCCCCTCGGAGCCTTCGGGGAGAAAGACACCTCGCACTCTGTTGGAACTTGGCCGCATCTCGTTGCCAGCAAGACACCACCATGTAGCCAGTCACATCAGAATGCTGCCGCGCGGCGGTTCGCCCACGCCAGATATGCGACCCCGTCGGGCCCCAGCTCGCTCAGCTACGCATTCCAACGGATTTCGTCGGAAGTAGCTTTCGAAGGAGGCTCGGGGTTGAGGAGGTCGGTCCGAGGGGCGCGGCGATTGAGACGAACGCCAGCGCCTTCGACGTCGATCTTCTGCTCAGCGAGTGCAGGGCCCCATGTGAAACCGAGAGCTCGAAGCTGATGTTCGGGATCGGCGATAGGATCCACATCCTGCGACCCAGTCGGCCTCGAACCAGTCGTGCTCCTTCCTCCCGACCGTCCGCAGCTATGGCTGCGGGCCGCGGGCGCGCGTGCGCCGCGCTTGGGCGCGGCCGCGGGTCCTGGGCTGCCCTGCCCGCCCTCGGGCCGTGACGCCTGATCCACATCCTGCGCCACCCCCTGGGGAACGAGCCCTCTGTCGAACGGGCCCCAGAGCATGGCGCGGCGAGAGCAGCCCCTCGAAACTGGCGGCGGGTTGGCGCACGAGCAGCTGCCCGGGCGTGCCAGGCCCGATGGGCCCGCAGACTTTTTTGCGGCGGCCCGATCGGCGGAGGCGACCAGGCCGCGCGGGGAGCAGCGTTTTTGTGGCCTCGAGTAGCTCCGAGGCAGAGACAAGCGAAACCGAGGCCTGCCGCGCAGCCACCTGCAGGCGCTCTCTGCCCAGCTGCCAGGAGGAGGAGGAGGAGGAGGAGGAGGAGGAGGAGGAGGAGGAGGAGGAGGAGGAGGAGGACGAGGAAGACGAGGACGAGGACGAGGAAGAAGGAGGAAGACGAGGAAGACGTGCGTCTGCTGGAGCCGCTTTGCTCACTGGATGCCCCGCTGCCAGAGAGCTCGGGGGCCATGGCTGAGAACAGCGGGGCGGACCAGAGGAGCGTGCGGAGGGTTTGCGAGCGCGGCGTGCAGCATGCCTCCTCAGCTGCTTGTGGAACTCAGGCAGCAAGGGCGGCGAAGACTCCAACTCGTCTGCGGTCTCGCTCGCTTCTCTGACGTGCTCCTGGAGGTCTGGAAAGCGGAAGAAGACCCTTGGAATCGGCCGAGAATCTGGGTCAGTCTTCAGGCAAGGGGCAATCACGACCAACACCGCGACGGGATCAGGAAGCCGCTGCCCATTCAAAATCTCCGGCAAGCCGCGCAGCTCCGCGGACGAGCGCAGTTACGTGAGCGACCAGCCTGGCGATGATCCGATGAACTAAAGATACGATCGTTGCTGCTGTTGGTCTTCAACGACTGGTTGAAATGAGTTCCCCCTTCGACTTCCACCTCCGTGAACTTAGCTAGGATGCGCTGCCGGGCTAAATATCTACGCTGTTGTCTGTCAGCCAGGAGGCGCCCGCGCAGCTTGGGGGGGCGGATCGAGGGGGCGCGGAGGGCGAGCAGCAATGTGATAGCCCCCTGCGAGAACAGCGATCGACGCGAGCGGGTTCTGCTGGGCACTCAAGAGGTCTAAATTGATCAGATCTTCGAGATGCTGACGATATAGCAGCGTGTTCCAATGAGTTTGGACACTGCAGCGCGCTATCCAAACCCCGCCGGAGGACTCGATGGAGACCCGTTGGGCCCCGCCAAGAAATGTAATCGTATGATCTAGTTGAGGAGGATGAGCGGGATGGGCACGTGGCGAAATGGGCGGCGAACGCGATCGCGCCCCGCGCGCGGGCGCTCGCGCCGTCGACGTCAGCGTCGGAACCGCCGCCGTAAAAAGAGGAGAAAGCCGGGACAAGGAGGTTGAGATGAATAAGAACATCTTGCAGAATGAGCTCGGCGCCGAGCGTCTCCTGAACTGCAACCGGCGCCCCACGCGGCGCCAGCTTCTTCAAATAGCACAGCTTCTCGGCACGAGTCCCAGGGCCATGGGGGGCGACCAAAAGGCCAAGTTTGCAGAACGGCACTCGATGGGCGGACTCGCGGCTGCACTCTGCGCCGAGACGCGGACCGACTGCCGCCGCTGGGGCGAACGAATCCGAACGGCTTGTCCGTAACCTGCTGAGCATGGCCTCCGCGCGCACCATCGCTGGGCCCTTGTCCACAGCGACGAAGACCTCCGTGCCCTGATCTGTGGTGGCCGTGGCGTTGAAGCGCTGCCGCGCCCCGCCAGGGAGGCGGGGGGGGCCCGCGGCCTGGCTGACGCGCCTGGCCGCCTGGCCGCCTGGCCTGGCCTGCGCGGCGCGGAAAATGAACCTCTTGTCCACAGGCTCGCCACGCAGGTGCAAGCTGGGGCCCATCGGAACGCAACCCAGCCACGGCTGCAGCGCTTAGATGAGCGCGCGCTGAGCCGCGGGTTCCTGGGCGCGGGCGACGATGACGGAGGCGTCAGGCTGGCGAGTCCGAAGGCGGCACCACGACGGGCTGTTCCCTCTGGAGGACGCCCAGCTACTGCTGAAAATAACGGATGTGATTATCGAGCTGGGCGGGCCGTGCATCATGTTGGTTCCGACGTTATCCGGCGCTGGTCATGCGACGCTCGATGTGCTTGTTCACTTTGTCACAGATATCGGAGACGGAGAAAGCGAGCCTGGTAACACCGATCTGGAGTTTGGAGATGGCGACGAGCATTTCCTTCTCCGTCGCGTCGGCATACATGGACAGCCCCGACCGAATCACCGCCGTCATCGAAGATCTCTAAGGAACTATCAGCTTCTGTGTCTCCGTCGCGATGACCTGCAGGCAGGCCTGCATGACCGTCGCGATGAGGAGGAGCAGCACCATGGGCCAGAGGGGAGGGTGCGGCTGGCCCTGCTGCGAAGGGAATGTACGGAAGGCCTCAAAATCTGTTTGCAGTCGGCGTTGTGACTGCTCGTCGAGGGAATTGAGGGCCGCGTTGGTAGCATCTGCTGTCTGGTTACAATGACGGGCTCGAGCAACGCTGCGGCTGCGCGCGTGACCATCTGTCGGCATCGCACCCAAGAACGGCGAGAGAAAGACAGAGACTGGCAGAGTGAGGTACAACACAGAGAATATCTGCCTTGGCAAGCATCTGTGATCCCCCGATCAGGCTGACCTGCCCAGCTGGTTCGGCAAATGTTTTATTTGATCCCAGACGGTATGAGCCAACATGGCAACGGGCTTCCACCTGCTCCTGCTTTTGTTCCTGCTCCTGTTCTTCCTCCCCCTCCTCCTCCAGATCCCCCTTCTCCTCCTCCCCCTTCTCCTCCTCCTCCTCCTCCTCCTCCGTTTCCTCTTGATTTCCAGATTTCCATCATGAGCGGCCGAATGCGGGGGCAATCGGACGCCGTTCCTCCTCTTTCAACCCGATGTTGTCCACATAAGCAACTTGTCCCTGTCGCACCTCGAGGCCAGTTCTTAGGGCGGGCCGGGCGTTTCGCAAAAGACTCCTTCACCAGATGCTGAACAATGGCAACAGTTTCAGAAATTGAGGGCGGGTGGTTTTCATCAAAATGCGGTTTTCGCCCGAGCGCCGCGCACATTCGTTATACAAACATGCGGGAAGTTCACGGATTGAGGGCTGGTGATTTTCAAAATGTGGTTATCGCCCTAGCGCCGCGCACGTTCGTTGCGAAAAAAACAATAGCTTTGCGGGTTGAGGGCGCGTCGTTGTCATAATGTGGTTTTCGCTTTAGCGCCGCGCACATGACTTGTAAAACTTTGCAGCAACAGTGCACATATTGAGGGCAGCTCTTTTTCAAAATGTGGCTCTCGCCTTAGCGCCGCGCAGACTCGTTGCAAACATTGTTTGTCTTTCAACGAGGCAGCTCCCTCAGTGGAAACAAACCGATGTGGGAGCCAATGAAGGGGGAGCTTGAGGGGAGGGTTAATTCCAACATCGTTGATGACTCTTGGGTTTACACTGGTCCTCCTCCTCCTCCTCCTGATCCTCCTCCTCCTCCTCCTCCTCCTCTCCCTCCTCCTTGGACCGTCTGGCCAAATGGGCCCAGCGCTGACAGATCAGAAAGGGCTGGACCCTTCCTTCGCGGCCAGCCCAAGGCCCCAAGGGGCTTAGCTCATATCAGAAAATCAGGCGTGGGCTTCTGCGCGCATGCCCCCGATGGGGCGTAGCGCAACATGGAGGGCCGCAGGTGGTGTGGAGCTGTTTTTTTAGTCGATAGATGGGGTCGGAACAGATGGGGTGAGAGCATCGCGCAGCATCGCCGATGCATCCTCGATGCATCGGCGACGCCGGCCGGTATAACATCGGCACCCACATCGAGCCGCGTCGGCGATGCGGCGCAATCGCCCGAACCCGTCTTAGAGGCCTAGAGCTCGCTTGTGCCCAAGACATGCTGACAGGCAGTTCAGCGACGAAAGGGGAGCTGCTATCCTGCGAGAAGCCACAGCGGCCCTGGGCCGCAGCAGACGCGGGCCGCCAGGGCGGCACGCTGCGGACACGCGGCCGCCCGCGCGCACACCTCCGCGGGAAACTCGCGCGCGAATGACGGCGCGGGTCGCATCCGTTTGTCTGCGCTGCTCACGCGGTGATGCGTCCTCCGGTCGTCGAGCCTCCCTTGCCAGATATAGTGTACCCCCCTATGCAGCCAGGAGATCTGGCGACCTGTCGCCCCCGTGCCCGCCGAGCCTCCTCCACGCACCGAGGCACCGAAACGAAGGCTGTTCGCAGCCTGTTCGGGGCGTGGCTGGGGACATTTCCTGGCCCAGTGGGTTGTCAAAACCTACTCCGGTCGGGTAAACTCTCGCGTGAATGCAGGCGCATTCGAACCTTTTTTCTCGGGGACGGACAGACCCCCCTTTAGCAAAACGTGGTTTAGTGAAAACGACCTGAGGCCCAAACCTGGCAGGCGCAAGCCTGGAAAATAACGGCCACGGCGCCCTCTCGAAAACCGAAAACGGACAATTCACTGATCGACGTGTCACTGTTGGGGGTTCTGTCCACCCCCGATTTTCTTGCGTCACTCAAATTCTGACGCATCCTCCGGTCGCCCCCGTGCCCGCCGAGCCTTCTCTACCAAAGGCCCACAGCGACAGGCTGGTCGCAGCCTGTTCTCGGAGTCGCTGGGGGAGATTTTCTGGCCCCATGGGTCAACAAGAACTACTCCGGTTGGGGAAACTGTCCCGGGGGATGGGGGTCGACAAGACCAGGGGGCACACGTCTCAAAAAGCATCGAATTGCCAAATGTTTGGGCTTCTTGTGGCGCGACACGGGATACCGACGCTGGCAGAGAGGTGCGCGAGACTGGTCATAAGAACTGTGGGCCAGATCCGAGCCTCCGTCTTGTCCTTCAGCTTCTTCAGATTGTTCATCAGGGCACCCATCGGGTTTTCCGGATCCTCCTCCCAATCAATGTCTTCGTCGAGCGACTTGTCTTTATCTTTCTTGGCCTTGTGCCCCTTCGCAGGCGCAGCGGGCTCGTCATCCGGCTCGTCCTCCAGCGCCGCCTCTTGCTGTGCCTGTCGGGAGGTAGTCACTCCTCATCCTTATCCTCCTCCTCCTCCTCATCATCATCGTCATCATCATCAGCATCGTCATCATCATCATCATCATCATCATCAGCATCATCATCATCATCATCAACATTATCATCATCATCATCAGCAGCAGCAACAGCAGCAGCAGCAGGATCAGCATCCACATCAGCATCAGCATCATAGTCAGCATCATCAGCATCAGCACTAGCATCAGCATCAGTATCAATATCATCAGCATCATCAGTATCATCAGCATCATCATCATCATCAGCAGCAGCATCATCAACATCATCATCGTCATCATCATGGACATCAGCCTCAAGATCATCATCACCAGCATCACCATCATCACTACCACGATCATCGTAATCGTCATCGTCATGATTACCATCATCATCAGCAGCAGGATCATCATCATCATCATCACCATCACTATCACCATCATCCTCATCCTCATCATCATCATCATCATCTTCAGCATCAACATCATCAGCATCATCATCAGCATCGGCATCAGCAGCAGCATCACCCTCATCAACATCATCAACAGCATCAGCAACACCACCACCACCATCATCAGCATCGACATCATCATCATCAGCACCATCGTCGTCATCGTCATCATCAGCATCGCCAGCATCGTCATCATCATCATCATCATCCTCATCATCATCATCATCATTATCATATGCCTCCTGTTCAGCATCATCATCACCACCACCATCAGAATCAGCAGCATCACAATCATCATAGTCCTCATCATCAGTATCAGGATGTATCATCATCAGCATCATCAGCACCATCATCCTCATCATCCTCATCATCATGATCATCATCATCCTCATCATGATCGTCAGCATCATCATCAACATCATCATCATCACCATCACCATCCTCACCATCACCATTATCATCCTCAACATCATCAGCATCATCATCACCACCACCATCATCATCATCATCATCATCACCATTACCATCATCATCATCCACATCATCATCATCAGCAGCAGCATCATCATCATCATCATCATCATCAGCATCGGCATCAGCATCAGCATCACCATCACCATCACCACCATCATCATCACCATCATCATCACCATCACCATCACCACCATCATCATCATCATCACCACCATCATCGCCATCATCATCACCATCGCAACCCCTTTCGTACTCCATCATTCACCCTCCTCCTCCATCATCCCCATGCCCCTCCCTCTTCTCCCCTGTTCTTTCCTTGCAAGCCCCCTTCGCCAATCTGACCAATGCTGCTGCTCCCCCCCTCCCATAGGGGAAACCGCCTGATCTGATGCCGCTGCTCCCTGGACCTCTCCAGGGATGCGTTTTGACAAGCATTCCAGGGCGAAGCTAGTGGTGACGACGAGGGCCTCCCAGGAGGCCCACAAGGGCGCAAACGGGGCAGGGGTCGCGATATTGGTACGTAGCTGTCCCTCCTCTCTGCCCTGCACAGTTTCCCCTGGGGCCGTAGGCGATCCGAGGACAAGGAGGAGGAGGAGGAGGAGAGAGGAGGAGGAGGAGGAGGAGGGGGATGAGGAGATGGAGGAGGAGGAGGAGGAGGAGGAGGCGGAGGAAGAAGAGGGGGAGGAGCAGGAGATGGAGGAGGAGTTGGAGGAGGAGGAGGAGGAGATGGAGGAGGAGGAGGAAGAGGAGGAGGGGGAGGAGGAAAACGGGTCGCTTAAGCCTTTCGGAGCAACCCTCCCCTCTGCCCCCTCCTCTGGACTGCCACAACCCGCGCCGCCGCACCGCCTGGGGCCTGCGCCACCCCAAGCAGCTCGGAGGCGAAGCAGAGCACAACCGCGACAGCAGGGCCGGGGGGCACCGCCCCGAGGGGCCAGAGCTAAGACGAAGCCAGGACGAGGCCAAAATTCGGGCGCCGACGCTCCAAGACGGACCAAGAAGCCCCTAAGATTGCATGCCAAAACATTGCCCCCGAGCTTACACCGAGCTTCTGCCGGCGGACCCGCCGCCGCTCCACCTGCCGAAGCCATACATGCCGCCGCGCTGGCCTCGGACAAAATTCAGGTGAGGATAATGCGAGAGTATATGAGATCCCTCGGCTCTGGAGGATGTCTCGGGCGCCGCGGCCTTCTCCGAGCGTTCCAGCACGCTCTGCTCCGCTCTGGAACGGATTCATCCTCGTCCCAGACACATGCGAAAAAACAAAGCACTCACTATCCTTGGACTGCGGCCTGGCCCTCTTGGCCTGGATCTTGATGACCGTGCGAGGCTTCCACGCAGTCTTGCCTACGTGCGTAGTGCTGGCAGCGGCTGCGCCAAGCTGTGGCGCCCCCTCAAAGGCCGACCCCGACCCCCAGCGGAGATGGCCTGCACGCGGCGCCCGACACCGCGTGCCGCGCGCAGGCCGTCACCGCTGACAGGTCGGGGTGGGCCCTGTTGGGGGGACGCCAGGAGCGACTCCCAAGGCCCAGCGGTTGCGGATGTCACCTCTTCGCCCAAGACAAATCTGGGGGGAAAGTGGAGCGAGCAAAACCGCAGCCTCAGAATACAAAACAGGCCAACAAAATCATAAGCACGCATGCGGTCCAAGAGGGCCCCGAGTCGCCGAAGGATCGCTCCAAGTCGCCCTAGATGGCCCTAAGGCGGTCCAAGAGGCCTCAGGCCTCTGAAGAGGGCCCCAAGGGGTACAAATCATTGATGTTCAAAAAGTTGTTGAAATCGTTTGGCGTTCTCGCCTTTTCGGCTTTCCAGCGCTCCAAGACGGCCCACGATGCCCTCAAGACCACCCCAAGACGGCCCACGAGGCCTCCAAGAGGGTCCCAAGACGGCCTAAATGCGCCCAAGACGGTCCAATATGCGCCCAAGACGGGCTGCCTCCCCAAAACGTGGGAAACGTGCCTCGCCCGCGCGGGGCGCCGGGCAGACGGTGCCTTCCCCCGACTCGAACAGCGGGCCGGTCGGGTGCCCGAGGAGAGCCCGCGCGACCCCGACCCGAGCCGCAGGGGCCGTTCCCGCGCGAGGCCCAGGGGCGGGGCGCTCGTCGCCACGTCCCACAGCGAGGTGCTGCAGCGCAGCCGTCGTGCTGCCACAGTGGGAGGCATCCTGGATGAGGTCCGAGCGCACGTCGGTGGGAGGAAGCACAGTCGACCCGCATCGGAAGGATGCGCGGTAAGGATGCAACGGCCTCGTTGGCCAGCGGAGGTCGCTCGGGATGTGCCGAAGGGGCATGGATGCAAGGGTACAGAGGATTGCCCATCCTTGCCATTAGGGTTGACAATAGATAGAAACATGAAGCAGGAAGGCAGAGAAAGTGGATTGGGTTCAGGCCCTTCCAGAGAATGACAAAACACGACGAAGTCATAGCGATTCTTGAAGCAGGAAGGCGCTAGAAAAAACTGGGATCTGGGGATCCAAAAAATACCTACGCTCAACGACCGGCGAGTACAGCGAGTTCGTGTTGTGCCGACCCCGGCGGTCGTTCCTGACATTGCGGAGATCGTGCCGTCTTGAACGATCGGCCCGTTTCAAAATCGCGAGAGCGCTCAACATCGACTGATACCTGTGGCGGGGTCGCCGCCGATCGGCATGACGCGAGCCTACCATAGATGGGGTCGGAGGATCGCGCCGCATCGCCGATGCAGTGGCGATGCATCGGAAATACACCGCCGATGCCTTGGCGATGCATCGGCACCCACGGCGTGGAGAAGATCGGGCCCCACATCGAGCCGCATCGCCGATGCATCGGCGATGCGGCGCGGTCCTCCGACCCCATCTGCTCGGACCCCGTCTGGGAGGCCCTGGCGCTAGGTCGGGCATGTCCCCGTACAAGCGGACTTGGACGAACAAAAATCTGCCGGCCACCTTGTGGGGCCACCAGGCTTTAGGACCAGGGCTTGCTGTTCCATGCACCAGTTCCAATTTCCAAGCTCCATTTTCCGTTTGGTTCAAGGAGGTGCAGAAACACGAATAAGAGACTCGCAATTTGGGTTCCGGCCGCGCCGTGGCACAGGCGACGCTCTCGTGCTAACGCGCCGGATGATCGATGCGGCCCACTTGCACGTCAATGGTGGTCTGATGTTACTCTTGTTGGATTGGGCGGAAACCTTCGATAGAGTAAGACCAGACTGTATGTGTGATGTCCTCGAACGCTTCGGCCTGCCAAATGGTATGGTGGAAATGGTGCGCTCGATCTACTCCGCAAGATTTTCCACAATCGACGATCATGCCGGCCGCTCTTCTGAACGACGACAACGCGCCAGGATCGCCCAGGGCTGCCCGCTCTCGCCGTACTTGTTCATCATCGTACAAACTGTAATGTTGCATGATGTGTATGGCACTCTTGAACTACTCCCAGAGCCTGACTTCGTGATTACACGTGATATTCTGTACGCTGATGATACATTGTTGGTGTCTCATCATTGTTCCAACCTGCAGCACATGCTGGCAGCAATAGTGGAGGAAGGTCGGAAGTATTGCCTGGAACTTAATTGGGAAAAGACCGTACAAGTACAACTTTCCACAGACCGGGCAATCACATCACGAAGTGGTGAGCACATAAAGGCAGTGAGGGACGCTATGTATTTGGGCGGCCTTATTTCGTTGGATGGGAAAGTGGCAACTGAACTAAATAAGCGACTTGGGGAAACGAACCGTCTCTTCAAGCAATTGCTTCGAATATGGAGCCGGACTTCAACTGGAAAGAAACGAAAAATCAATAGTTATGAAAGTTGTGTCCTGAACAAGCTCCTGTACTCTTTAGATTCCGTTTGGCTTCTGAAGGCAGACCGTGCGCGTTTAGACGCCTTCCACTGCAAATGCTTACGTCGTTTGCTGGGAATTCGTCCGTCCTTCTTCGCACGGGTTAGCAATGCAGCTGTGCTTCAAAAAGCATCCGCTCAACCTCTGTCGAATATTTTGCTGGCCAGGCAAGTTGATTTGTATTGTACAATAAAACTATGAATTCGGGATGACCGGTGCTTGTCAAAACCGCTGTCTGTAATGACGATGGAACCCCCAAGAGATGGGCTGGGCGCCGAAAGAGGGGCCGCCCCCACCAGCAGTGGGCGAGTCAGGTATACAAGTTGTCTCAGCATGTATCGCAACGGTGCTCTTTCCCCTCCGCTCCCCCGTTTCCTCCTCTCCGTCCGCTCTGTATTCCAATGTCGTGATGCGCTTTGTTTTTCTGCGTCACAGTCGTGATGCGCTCGGTTGTTCCGCGTCGCAGTCGTGATGCATTCCGCTTCTGCTTCACAGTCGAGTCTGTGCGTGCACGCAGCCGCACTGTAATGTCTTTTCAGTTTCTGAAGAGTTGCCAATCGCGCACTCTTCTGCCCATGCGTCCCTCCGGACGCTCGGCTCAGTGGTGGTGGTGGTGGTGGTGCTTACTGTTCCTTGTTGTAGACCGCGCGAGGGGGGGGAGCCAAAAGCCGCCCTGGTTAGCACCTCCCGGGAGGGTCCTCAGAATTTCTGAGGGGGTCGAAATTGTCACCCCTCACGCAGATCGGCGGGGTCAGGGTCCAAAAATACATGGGATTTGCCAAATGTCTGAAATTCGGCGGCACCCCTCACGTAGATCAGCGGAGTTAGAGTCAAAAAACAAATGTGATTTGCCACTTTTCTAAAATTCGGCGGCACCCCTCACACAGATCGGCGGGGTCAGAGTCCACAAACTCACATTCCTCAAATTCGACGGCACCCCTCATGCAGATCGGCGGGGTCAGAGTCCACAAACTCACATTCCTCAAATTCGACGGCACCCCTCATGCAGATCGGCGGGATCAGGGTCGATAAACCAATAGGATGTGCCACATTTGTAAAATCCGGCAGCACCCCTCACGCAGATCGGCGGGGACAGCCCCCCCTCGACTCCCCACCCGAGCACGGGCGTAGACGAGGAGGAAGAGCTCAGGGTCGAAAAAGCAACGGGATGTGGTACATTTCTAAAATTCGGCGGCACCCCTCACGCAGATCGGCGGGGTCAGGGTCGAAAAAACAATGGGATGTGCCACATGTCTGAAATTCGGCGGCACCCCTCACGCAGATCGGCAGGGTCAGGGTCGAAAAACCAATGGGATTTGCCACATTTCTGAAATTCTGTGCGAAACCTAATGCAAATCGGCGGAGTGAGGGTCGAACAACCAAGGGATTTGCCACATGTCTGAAATTCGGCGGCACCCCTCACGCAGATCGGCAGGGTCAGGGTCGAAAAACCAATGGGACTTGCCACACTTCTGAAATTAGATGGGAAACCTCATTGCACAGCACACGGGGGCAGGTTCACATTGCAACACTGAGTTCAACAGATCATCAGAATCTCAGTTTCCCTTGCCGATGCTGCTTCACGGCGGCCCCGAGGCCTCATGTTTTAGCTCTTGCGTAGCTCATTATCCGAGAGCGGGGGCCGGCGGCAGGGGGCGAAGCCCTTACGGATAAAACATGTAATAAAACAAACAATTCAAATCGCAAAGAGGCAACCTATGATCAACAACATCTTCCTCCTGTCGATTCGGACGCCCGAAATGGGTACGGCAAGAATGGGCACACTGCCCAACAACAAATGCTGTCCCAAACCAACAGCGGCCGCTGTTGGGCAGGCGGCCTCCTGCCTCGAGTGGACACCGGCCGCGGCGGCGTGGACAGCGAGTCCTGTTCAGAATGAACAAGCACTGCAGTTGGGCCTCGTACCCATTCCTTCCGTACCTATTTCGGGCGTCCGGAGTAGACGAGACGTGCCCGACGGATTCCTGGCACACGGAGCGCCAAATCGGGAGCGCAGGGGGTTCCTCAGTCCACGGCCCATTATCCGAGAGCGGGGGCCGGCGGCAGGGGGCGAAGCCCTTACGGATAAGACATGCAAAAAAACAAAAAACAACTCAAATCGCAAAGAGGCAGCCAGTGATCAACAACATCTTCCTCCTGTAGAGGGGCGTGCCCGACTGATTGCTGGCACGAGGAGCGCCGAATCGGGAGCGCAAGGGTGACGGGAAACTGGGACACACAACAAAAATACACCCAAATAAAAAGATTCCCCATATTTTCCCATATGTTATGTTTTCTTATCTTCCCCACCACTTCCCATATTTTCCCATATTTTCTGGGAAATCGACGATTCATTGTGTCTGTGTGTTTCTTTCCCTCCCGAAAGGGGGGGCCCCTCAAGCCAGCGGCGGGCGACTCGGCCCCGGGCCAGCACGCCCAGCCCGGCGCCGAGGGGCGGCTCGGGCACCGGGAAGGCCTGCCTGAGCCCCAAGCTCGGGGAGACGTACAGGGCAGTTGTTAATACATAGGATGTTTTCGTTTTTTTTTGTTTTACGTAGGATTGTTTTATACATGATCAATGTATAAATAAATTCATGCATGAACTCATCGTTGCTTTTGATACGACATCCCTGCATGTTTAATACATGCTCCGCACGCGGAGCATGCATTAAAAACGACACTGCAAGATGGACTTGTCCTCCTACCGGCGGATTTTCGGCGAACATTCAGATACTTAAAACAATGCCCAACAGTGGCCAAAGATGGTCGAACCAGCGTCCCCATACTATGTTTTGGCTATGTCTGAATACTCTTCCTGCAAAGGAACACGCCAAACTTAGACATAAAGCTCGGGTACGGGGGACTCGGGCTGGCCCGACGGGGCCACTAGGAATATGACGCGACCCTGTCTGGAAGTTGACGAGGGCTCTCACTGTGGACATCCCACGAACACGGGACCGTCGAAATTCGAGACGCCCTCGTCAGAAGGCGTCGGCCAACCCGAGTTCCAGCGTACTCGAGTCTTAAGTCCCAGGCAAGCGAGCCCCATTTCAGCATTCTGTCTGCCCTTCCGCAGCCCGTCGAGGAGGGCTCTCCAGAGTCCACTCCAACAGCGGGCCTTCGCTGGCAGTGAGCGACACGCCTCCGCACCCCCCGAGCGGGTGCAGCCGTAGCGGCGCCAGCCGACGGTGACACTGAGAAGTTTTGTGGCGTGGAGCAGCCGCACGAGAACGAACATCTTCGATCGGGGATCTTCTGACCCGGGTCAATCCAGACCCTGGTCAGCAGGAAACCAAAAACTGCAATGCGGGAAAAAAAACTGCAACGCAGGTCTTCGCAAACCCGGGTCAGCCAATATGTGCGGCCGCCTCGCGGCCACGAGCGGCTCGCTAACCCGGGTCAGCCATAGGGGGCCTTCGCAGGATCCTGCAGGATCTGGCGCGCTGGCTGACCCCCGTTTGCACTGACCCCCGTCTCTTAGGCCCCGATTCGATGAGGATCGGGGAGGACCGAGGGTGAAGAGTGAGCAAGACGGAGGCAGCAAAAAACCTCTTGTGCGAGGACCGGGGATGACCGAGGGCGAAGATCGGGCAGGATCGAGGCCTGCTCGGCATGAAACGGACGGGTCCCGAGGGCAACAGGTCCTGGACCCTCAAGCCCTTCCCCGGGCCCAACTTCCTGTCCCGAGTTGGAGGAGAAGGAGGAGGAGGAAGAGGAGGAGGAGAGGAGGAGGAGAGGAGGAAGACGAGAAGGACGAAGAGGAGGATGAGCAGGAGGAGGAGGACGAGGAGGAGGAAGAGAGGAGGAGAGGAGGAGGAGAGGAGAGAGGAGAGGAGGGAGGAGGAGGAGGAGGAGAGGGAAGGAGGAGGAGGAGGGAGGAGGAGGAGGGAGGGGGGGAAGGAGAGAAAGGAGGAGGGAGGAGGAGGAGGAGGAGGAGAGGAGGAGGGACGAGGAGGAGGGAGGAGGGAGGAGGAGACGGAGGAGGAGGAGGAGGAGGAGGAGGAGGATGAGGAGGAGGAGGCAGAGTAGAAGGAGGAGGAGGGAGGGAGGGAGGAGTAGGGAGGAGGAGGAGGAGGAGGAGGAGGAGGGAGAAGGAGGAGGGAGGAGGAGGAGGGAGGAGGAGGGAGGAGGAGGAGGGAGAAGGAGGAGGGAGGAGGAGGAGGAGGAGGAGGAGGAGCAAACGGGTCTTGAGTGAAACGGGTCCCCGGGCTGGGTCCCCGGGCTTCTCGTCGTGTTGGGGCGAACGAAGTAAGCAGAGGACGAGGAGAAGGAGGAAGAGTATGAAGGAGCAGAAGACAGGATGGGGAGGACGCTTGACGACCGCACCCGTGGCTCCCGTCATGCGTGCCCGCGCCAACCACCGTCGCCGCCACCACTCCCCTTGACGACCGCGCAGCGAGGGAAACCACCGAGGGCGAGGGCGAGAACGGAGACAGCTGCAAGCCACGGCCTTCAGGAGGTCCCTCTTCGACGGCGGGCGGTTCAGGAGGTCGGCGATCCCCTGCGGGAAGAGGAAGGAAAGAAGGGGGGTGCGCAAGGCAGCGATCGGCCACGCGCGCCAGGGGGTAGGGGGAAGGAGGCGGAGGAGGAGAAGGAGGCGGAGGAGGAGAGGGATGGCGGAAGAGGAGGAGGAGGAGGAGGAGGAGGAGGAGGAGGAGGAGCAGGATGGAGGATGGAGGATGGACGAGAGGGAGGATGAGGATTGAGGAGGATGGAGGAGGATGGAGGAGGAGCAGGAGGAGGAGCAGGAGGAGCAGGAGGAAGGGGGAAGGAGGATGGAGGGTGGAGTATGGAGGAGGATGGAGGATGGAGAAGGATAAGGAGGAGGAGGAGGAGGAGGAGGAGGAGGAGGAGGAGGAGGAGGAGGAGGGGGAGCAGGAGGAGGAGGGGGAGCAGGAGGAGGAGGAGGGAGGAAGAGAAGAGGGACGGAGGAGGGACAGGGAACAGAGACACACCCTTGGAGGGAGAGGGCGCGGAAATGGAGGGCGGAGGGCCAGGGGAGGCGAGGCAGAGCGAGGCCGGAGGGGAGTGGAATGGGGGAGAGCCAGACGGACGGCTGGACGCGCGCTTGGGCGTGAACTCATGGGGGCCGCAGGGCTGTGCCCAACGCAATCCGTCCGGCCGGGGACAGCAGCCCGCCTCGTGATGCTGTGAGTGACGCCCCCACATGGCGACGCGGAGTGCGCCGTGTGCGTCTTCGTTTGCCAGCCTGGAACATATCCCTATCCCTATGCTGGGCACCTCCTCATCACGATGCCAATCTTAGGGATTTCCCTATGTTTTGAGGGCGAATAAGATTGTCATCGCCTTTTGGCGTGTCACAACAAACACACAAACAAAATGGCTCTCGCCATAGCGCCACGCATATTCGTTTTGGGCATTAGCAAGAGCTTCACGGATTGAGGGAGGGTATGTTTCAAAATGTGACTATCGCCTTAGCACCGCCCGCGTTCGCCTTAAACATTTGCAAGAGCTTCATGGGTTGAGGGCGGGTGGTTTTCAGAATGTGGTTTTCGCTTCGGCACCGCACACATTTGTTTTAAACATGTGCAAGCAAGAGCTTCACGGATTGCGGGCGGTTTTCAATATGTGGTTTTCGCTTTAGCGCCGCGCACATTATATTTGAAACCTTGCAAGAATTGCACGGATTGAGTGCGGCTACCTTTCAATCTGTGGCTCTCGCCATAGTGCAGCGCACGTGAATTATCAAATTGTGTAAAGAGTTTCACGGATTCCCAGTGTCAACGTGTTAGAATCTGTGTATTGCAAGGACTCAGGATTGCCAGGGCGCGGTCTTGTCCCAGGAATGATGTTCTGGCACGATTCAGGATTGTCAAGACGCAACACTCACGTTGATTCGTGGCGCTGGAGTCCCGAGAATGATGTTTTGGGCACGCTTCAGGGCCTGCAACCGGTTCTCCCAACGAGGCAGTTCCCTCAGTGGAGACGAAACCTTGCAGGGGTCTGTGCAGAAGGAGGGTGGTAGGAGGTTTCAGTGCAACATCCTTGATGAGTGGCGGGTTACCACTGGTCCTCGTCTTCCTCTCCTCCTCCTCCGCCTCCTCTTCTTCCCTCCTCCTCCTCGTCCTCCTCCTCCTCCTCTTCCTCCTCCTCCTTCTCCTCCTCCTCCTCCTCCTCCTCCTCCTTCTCCTCCTCCTCGTCCTCGTCCTCATCATCGTCCTCCTCCTCCTCGTCCTCTCCCCTCTCTCCTCTCTCCTCTCTCCTACTCCTCATCCTCCTGCTCCTCATCCTCCTCCTGCCCCCTCTCCTCCTCCTCCTCCTCCTCCTCCTCCTCCTCCTCCTCATCCTCCTCCTCCTCCTCCTCCTCCTCGTCTTCCTCTCCTCCTCACCCTCATCCTCCTCACTCCCTTCTCTCGACCCATGTCCCGAGCCTGTGGCAGCGCCCTCAGGTCGTCGTCGTCGTCGTCGTCGTCGTCCTCCTCCTCCTCCTCCTCCTCCTCCTCCTCCTCCTCCTCCTCCTCAAGGGTCGGCGGCACCGGCCATCAGGCCTTCACAATAAACCCATATAAACCCGGATAGCGATAATTCGCGAACATCCGAAGATCCCACGGGGCTGGGTGATGTACCTGCGGGGCGCCGCGGCCGACTCGAGCTCAGAGCAGTCCTGTGCGCTCTCAGAGCGAAGGAGGAGGAGGAGGAGGGAGGAGGGGGAGGAAGGGGCGGCGGAGAAGGAGGAGGAGGAGGAGGAGGAGGAGGAGGACTGACCATCTCAGCAGAGAAAACATGGCCCCGCGGTGCGAACCTCCCCCCCCTCCGAGCTGGAGGCACGTAGGCGCGCCCTCTCCAACCCCACCTCGCGGAGAGAAGCCATCTGAACTCACGGCGGCTCTCCAGCCTGGCCCAAATCCGCTCGCAACAGTCCCGTGACCCCTCCGGGGGTCCACCCTGACCCGCTTCTGCGGGGCGGATCCGGCCGTGGCGACGAGAAACCTCCAGGAGGCCCAGAGAGAGCGAGGAACGCCCGGGGGGGTCCACCATCGTCTCGACTGGCACTCTTTCGAACCTCGAGGGGGGTTCTAACCCAGTGGAGGTTTGGGATATTGGGTGCAGTCAGCCCGTAACACAAGGACTCGCGAAAAGGATGCAGGGGCCTTGCTTGGAAGGCCATCGCGAAGCTTTTCGAGCGGGGCGCGGCCAACGAAAGCGGCCCAGGATGGACCGACGTGGAAAGGATACAAGGGTACCCTTGGTAGGTTGCCCATCCTTATCATGCGTGTCGACTGTGCTCGTTCTGGAAGAGGAGAGGGAGGAGGAGGAGGAGGAGGAGGAGGGAGGAAGAGGAGGAGGAGGAGGAGGAGAGGAGGAGGAGGAGGAGGAGGAAAGAGGAAGGGGGGAGGAGGAGGAGGAGGGAGGAGGGGAAGGGGGGGGGGAGGGGGAGGGGGGAGGGGGAAGGGGAGGGGGAGGGGGGGGGGAGGAGGAGGAGGAGGAGGAGGAGGAGGAGGAGACCCTCCTCGAGCCCCTCGCTCCCCCGAGGCGTCAATGCTGCGTCAAGCGTCCGTCGACGCGGGTCGAGCTAGTGTCGAGCAGATCCACCAGGTGGGCCCCTGGAGACCAGAGGACGCAACACACAACCTCGAGGGGAAGAACAGCGACACGCATGAACATAAACTTTCGAGGCTCTGCGCGGATGTCTTGGGTTTGCGCTGGGCGCTCCTCCCTGGCGCGCGCGGTGTGTGTGTGTGTGTGTGTGTGTGTGAGTGTGTGTGTGCGTGTGCGTGTGCGTGTGCGTTTGTGTTTGTGTGTGTTTGTGTATGTGTGTGTGTGTGTGTGTTTGTTATTCGATCCTCCTCGAAACCACCACCTCGAGCCCCCCCCCTTCCTGTCCGCCGGAGCCAATGCAGGGCCACCTCAGACTCCCAGCCGACTTCAAAACTCCGCGGAACTCTCCTCGAGTGCGTTCCGACGAGGATCTCGAGGCGAATCCAGGTGTGGCCACGAGGGCCTGCATGGAGGCCCACCCCAGGCGAACACGAGGGAAGGAGGGTACCAATCGGTCGGAAGAAGTAGGCAGAACCATGAAGCAGGAAGGCGTTGGAAGTAGATTGGCTCCCCGCCCGCCCCCTATAAAAGAGGAGGGAAGAGGGGAAGCCACTCGATCATTGAAATAGGAAGGCGCTCAAAGCAGACTGGAATCTGTGAATCCAAATTTCCATACTTTCAACGACCGATGGTCAGAGTGAAAACGTATAGTAAGGACGCGTGGAAAGGACGCTAGACCCTTGGAGGCCGAAGTTGAAGTATTCTGGGCGGCAGGCGGCCAACCCCCCAGGGAACCTGAGAAACTGGCCTGCGAAAATTGCCAGGGACGGGCCGCAGAGGCTGAGGCAGGCAAGGACCAAAGGGCACCCTTGACAAAAATCTGTTGCCCTTCCTATGCGCGCTGACCGTAAAGATGCTGGTGCGCTCTCCTCCTCCGAGAATCTGCTCCGGGGCGCGCTCGGGCCAGGCCTTCGCGCGGAGAGTGCGGCCGTGGGCCCCGGCCACAGAGGCCCCCCCGGGGAATCCGCTCCGTGGCGGACCTCTCCCGGGGCGCGCTCGGGCCAGGCCTCCGCGCGGAGAGTGCGGCCGTGGGCCCCGGCCACCAGAGGCTCCCCCGCCCTCCTCCGGGTGCCGCCCCTGCTCGCCGCGCCGCCGCCGCGGCCACGCCCAGAGGGGGGCCGGCCTCGGGCCGGGCAGAGACAACCGTCGACAGATGCCCTCCAGCATGGCAGCACAAATGCTCAAGCATTGTCCCCGGACTATCTCCTCCTCCTCCTCCTCCTCCTCCTCCTCCTCCTCCTCCTCTCCTCCTCCTCCTATTCTGGAGTACTGCACCCGTAGAGGGACAGGCCCGACTTGCCCCCCCCCCCCCCCCCCGAAACAGCAGGGGGCAGCGATGGGAGAGCAGGCGGTAGGCGCAGGGCGGCCCGCGCCGAGGAGGCTCCCCGGGCGGCCAGCGTGTCCGCAGCCTTCGCCCGCGCGGTCTGGATGGGATGGGCCTGCTGTCCACCACCGCCACCACAAGTTGGAGGGGGAGGGCGTCCTCCTCCTCCTCCTCATCCTCCTCCTCCACCTCTTCGTCCTCCTCCTCCTCCTCCTCCTCCTTCCCCCCCCTCCTCTTCGACCTCCTCCTCCTCCTCCACCTCTTCGTCCTCCTCCTCCTCCTCGTCCTCCTCCTCCTCCTTCCCCCTCCAACTTCTGGTGGTGGTGGTGGAACACAGGCGCATCGGGTCTGGATTCCGGGGCGCGATCTCGCGGATGCGCGGTCGCACGGGTGCGGTCCGCAAGGGGCATCCGTCGCAGGACGCCCCACATTCGCGGCGTCGCGGCCTTCAAGGTCCCTGCCCCCCGAGGCCGCGGACACGGATGTGCGCTTTCTCGCCGACGAGAGGCCTTGAACTTGTTCTTCAGGGCGTAGCTCGCCGCGGTGTGACCTGCAGCCGCTCGCTGCCCCGATCGCTGCCCGTCGAGCACGCGCTGGCATGGGTTGCAGATCCGTGGCTAGCTGCTTCACTCCTCCTCCTCCTCCTCCTTCTCCTCCTTCTCCTCCTCCTCCTGTTCCTCGTCCCGAAAGCGGTGCGTTTCATGAAGAACTGCCGCTACCTCCAACTCCACAAGAACTCTCCCGAGACAGAAATAACTTCTTATTGTTTCAAAGAACGGCCGTTGCCCGAGATGATGTGCTTGGACCATGGGTGACAGTAAAGGTTGGGTGGGGTTGGGCACGTCGGAGCGGGAGTTGGCTGCGATCGCCATAGGAAATGCGCGCGAGCACCCATCTGAGGGGGGGTCAAGCCCTCCCCGCTACGTACGATCTTTAACGTTACCCGAGGGGGGGAAGTCCGGGTAACGACCTACCGCCCCAGAGGATACAAAACCAGCTGAATGAGAAAGATTAGAACCGACCTCAGGACGGAAAGGGTTCCTCCGCGGTTAGGCCTGGTTTCGAGCGCTGACGCCCTCCTCCGCCTGCTGACCACGCGCAACGGCTCACGGTCTCGCCCCGCTCGCGTGCCCTCTGAGCGCAGGGCATCTGAACCGAACAAGACTGGATCCGGCGCGTAAGCGCGGGGGGGGAACAGCCCCTCCGGAGCATGATGCCAGTGCCGCCCGGTCTGGCTGGCGAGGATGCGCGACGATCTTGTGCGGAAGCAGGGCCCGTCGCTAAGCCACGCGCTTTAATCCATGCTTCCTGCGCCTTTGCGATCCTGGGCCTCACCCCTTCGCCGTGTCTAGTCGCTCCTCCCCCTCCGCCATCCGCTGATGCCTCCCTTCCCCCCCGCTCCCACTCCGCCTGCGCTTGCTGCCGCCGCGTGCCCTTCTCCCCCCTCCTCCTGCGGCCGCCGGAGAAGGCTCCATGCTGCGTCTCCTCCTCCTCCTCCTCCTCCTCCTCCTCCTCCTCCTCCTCCCCTACCTGGGGAACTCAAAAAATACGGATACCGCTTCCTCGTCCTCCTCCTCCTCCTGCTCCCGCTCCTCCTCCTCCTCCTGCTCCTCCTCATCCTCCTCCTCCTCCACCTCCTCTTATTCTTATTCCTCCTCCTCCTCCTCCTCCTCCTCCTTCTCCTCCTCCTCCTCCTCCGCCTCCCCGTGCCACCTGATATTGCCCTGATACTTCTCGCCCCAATCCTTCTTGCCCGCCCTGCCGAGGCTGCCCCTGCTCCCTCTTTTCGCCGCGCGGCATCAAATGGGTGACACAAAGCTAAAAGCGGGTGGTGCAAAAGATTTAGGGCAAGCGTACTGCAAATGTATTGCGCCGGAGAATTAGGTTGCACTGTAGCAAAGAATGTATTGCACGCGACGGGCCAGCAATACATTTGCGCACCGCAATGTACTGCAACCCTCTATATAAATGTATATATATATATACAACTCTGTATTGCACCAAATCTATTGCACCACTCCCTCGTCGCTGAACCTCCTTTTGGGTCAACCCGACCGTGGGGAAAACGGCCGGACCTATGAGACGAAGCCAGGACGAGGATGACATCGGGTGCGGATACTTCGCGCATCACTGAGATTCGACGGCCCTGGAAGATGTATCGGGCGCCGCTGTCTTCTCAGAGTGCTCGGGAACGCTCTGGAACGGATGCATCCTCGTCCTAGCCCCTCCCGAACCCAGGACAGAAGAACATCCTTCAAGACATGAGACTCTCCGCCTTCAAACCTGAAGAACATTCGAGGGGACCCTCCCCCAGGATGCACGAGAGCATCCAACACACAGGAAGGAAATCAGGGCACCCTCTCCGAGCCGACCTCGATCTTGCGCCTCGGTCCGACCGTACTCCCCAGTGCTCTGTCCGCCTCCTTGCCGCACAGCGCTGCGCCGAAAGGTTCGCCCTCTTGCCGTGTCGCTGTGTCAGGCTCAACGGGCCTGTGGCCTCAGTGATCGCGCAGAGCAGGAGGGGGGAAGGGGGAAAGGGAGGGACCGGGGGGTAGAGGGTGCGAGGGGGGGGAGGAGAGGAAGGGGACGAGGGACAGCAGACAGTGAGAGGATGACGCGGGGGCGAGGAGGGAGGGGACGACGAGGCAGGAGGAGGGAGGCCCCCCCGCCCCCCCCAGGCCCCCGGCCGTAGTAGTTCTGGACGTCTCGCTTGGGATTGGCCTTCAGGAGCTCCTGCACCTGGCGCGGAGGGGCGCCAGCGGAGCGAAGCGCAAGGCCGCTGTGCCCTCCAGCCCGTGGCAGCAGCACAGGGAGCAGGGAGACGGAGGAGGAGGGAGGGGGGGGACGAGGAAGTGGAACATCCCTCCTCCTCCTCCTCCTCCTCCTCCTCCTCCTCATCATCCTTCTCCTCTTTCGCCCCTTCTGTTCTCCGCATCCCTCCTCAGCATGCTCCGTGTTGTCGTCCTCCTCCATCCGCTTCCCCTTTCTTGTTGATCTTCCTCTCCTCCTCTTCCCCCCTCCCCCCCATGACACGACACAACCACCGACCCTCCTCCTCCCGTCAGTAGCTTGGCCCCTCCTCTCGTCGTGAACGTGTTGCACGACGCCGAGAGGACCACGATCCACCCTCCTCTCCTCTCGCTTCCTCGCCCTCCTCCCCTTGGCATGAAAAAGCAACAGGCCCCAATGTGGATGCACGTCCCGGACCACGTGGCCTTCCTCCCGGCACGACCCCTTCACCCTCAGCCGCTTCCTGACGGCCCTGGGACCCATGGGTGGTCTCGAGAGCTTGGAAATAGCGGCACACATCAAGAAGCCTCAGATCGGCTCTGAGGTGGCTCCAAGTGACCGGCCAACCTTGAGTTCGACCACTCCGGGTACAACGACATTGATTCGAATGTTGAGGACACTACGCTGCCTCCTCTACGGAGCTACCGAGAAAGAATGTCATGTACGTCGATACAGACAGGGTGCTACGTCATCCCTAACCGCGACGACATCCCTCGATTGGCCCCGCCGCTCATTCCATTCCTTCCCACCTTCCTTCACGATTTGCTTCGGGATGCAGCAGGTTAGACTGTTCGACAACCTCCTCCCTCCCCCCCACCACACCGTGGAAAGGGCCCCCCACTGGCGCCCTGGGGCCCTCGCACTCGCGACGGACCGTCCGCCTGGGCCCGCGAGCGCGGGTGGGAACGCCCGATGGCGCTGCGGGAGAGGAGGAGAGAGGAGGAGGAGGAGGAGGAGGAGGAGGAGGAGGAGGAGGAGAAGGAGGAGAAGGAGGAGCCCAGCGTACCATAGGAGGAGAAGGAGGAGGAGGAGGAGGAGGAGGGGGAGGAGGAGGAGGAGGAGGAGGAGGAGGAGGAGGAGGAGGAGGAGAGGAGGAGGAGGAGGAGGAGGCGGAGGAGGAGGAGGAGGAGAAGGAGGAGGAGGGGGAGAAGGGGGAGGAGGAGGCGGATGAGGAGGAGGAGAAGGAGCAGGAGGAGGAAGGAGGAAGAGGAAGGAACGGAGAGGGAGGTGGAGGGAAGAGAGGACGAGGGCGGGGGGAAGAAGAGGGAAAATGAGGAGGGAGGAGAAGGGACAAGGGCGGAGGAAGGAGGGGGGGAGGGAGGGAGGGAGGAGGGAGGAGGAAGGGAACGGAGGATGAGGAGGGAGGAGAAGAGGCTTCTGGCGCGTTCCCCCCCCCCCCGCGCCCCGCCCACGCGGCGCGCCACGAGCAGGTGGCCGTGGTACGCCGCGTAGTGGAGGGCGGTGTTGCCCGAGTCGTCCACCTTGCGCGGGGGCGAGGGGCAAACGAAAGGATCGGGAAGACGTACGACTCGTTGTCGTGGGATTCGAGTTTGCCTGATCCGCGCGGACCTCCGAGTCTTTTTGTTTATGTGATTATTCCTTCCCCTGGATGTGGTGTCACCCCCCGGTCTTGGGACTCGTGTGGTTCTTCGAGGATGTCCCTATCGCTGGTGGGTCCAGGAGTCGCAACACCCGGCGACGACCCTGTGTTCCAAAACACGGCGGTGTTTTTTTGTCGGCGGTGGACAAACCTCCCTTTAGTACATCTCCCCTTCGTGAAAACGGCCTGGGACCGAAACCGACGGACCTGGACCCGCAAAAATGACGGCCGCGACGCCCTCTCGCGAACCGCAAACGGCCGATTCGCTAATCGACGTGTCAGGGTAGGAGGTCTATCCACCCCCGATTTTGGGGTCCAGATCACCACCTGACGCCGCACCACCTGGCTCGGGGGCCCCCCAATGGGGGGGGCCTGCTGAGGCTCGCCGGGCCTACCGTACCTGGGGGGGGCTGTCGGTGCGCAGCCGGAAGGCGGAGAGAACTGGGGGCCTGGAGGCTCCCAGCGCGATCCCCCTAGAAGCCCAGACTAAGGTCAGGCATGTCCTCCTGCAGGCGGACTGCGGCAGCAAAACACAAGAATTGTCAAGAAGTAAGCAAACACATAGTCAAGAGAGCACGACAAATCGTCACCAGACCATGCGTCTACTACTCTTGAGTTCAATTATTCCTGTAGAGGGACGTGCCTGACTTGAGCCTGAACCCCTTTTCCAAGGCAACCGGCTCCTCTGCTCCGACCCGTCGGGGGATGACGGGTCCACGCCCCCATGGTGCCGAATACAGCCCGCAGGAAACGCGGCGACCCGCCGACGAGGAGGAAGAGCACGACGACGGAGTTCGGCGGAGAGCGAGTGGGGGAAGTGAAAAGGAGAAGGTCCTCTCAGAAGGTTCGGAAGTCCCCCAGCCTTCTGAGGAGCTTGTGAAGCCTTCCCCGAAGAGAGAAAAAACCTTCCCAGAAGGCGCGAGGGATTCTGAGAACTCCCACCGCCTTCTGAAAAGGCCTTCTCCTTCTCACTTCCCCACCTCGCTCGCCGACGAAAAGAGGGCGAAAACGACGACGCACGAGGCCGATGACGAACACGACGCAGAGGAGTCCAGGGAACGACGGAGAGGATCGACAATTGCTTTCCACGACTCGCAAAAAAGGCTGCACGCATCGGGCCTGGATCCGGCACGGGGGATTCACAATCCATCACGTAATTGGAGGGAAGTCGTTTTTGTGGTTCGGACGTTTGCGAGTCGGCACTTTGCGAGTAGTGAAACGCGCTCGGCGAGAGGAGGGAGAAAACGACGACGGGCGAGGCCGAGAACGACGACGACACCGTCGAGGACAACGCCGCGGAGACCGGGGAACGCGAAGGAAACGGGCCCTAGGAAAAAAAGGGTCCTACGGTTTGTCGCCGGTCGGCGCACATCTGCTCATCTTCGCATGCGCCCAGCGCTATCGACCCCTTGCAACAGAAAGCGTTTCGTGAGCATCAGTCAAAGGGCCCAAGGACACACAAATAAATACACAAAAAATGATTCCCGATCTTTTCCCATAATTTCTGGGTTCTTGTCTTCCCGCCCAATTCCCATATTTTCTTGGGGATCGACGAGTATTTGTGTCTGTGTGTTTTTTCCCCTCCTGAATCAGGTGATCCGCACGTCGCGCTCCCATCTCTCCCCACTGCTGGGCGTTCAAGAACGCCCCAATCGCTCCCGAAGCTCTCCCAAACTCGCCGTCGCCACAGGCAGCAGCGCTTCAACGCCCCCGCCGCCGCGGGAGGTGCCAACTGCATGCATCAGGTCGCGCTGGCGCGTTCAGATTGCTGATCCACCGAAGCTGATGGGAAAATATCAAATTCGGACGCATCCACGCCCTACGATCGCCCCGAGATGGCATAGAACTGTTCGGAAGGTGCAGAAGATGCAAGACAGTGTTGGCCCCATCGGGGGGATATCGATATCATACAGAGTGTGAACCGCTCAAGGCGGGGGGAGGGAAGATCTGGGCTGGTGATGAAATGACCGTAACACCCCAACCTAACCCTACCGCCATAGCCCGAACACCATAAGACTTTGACCCGATAACTAACGAGATAACATGTTTTTTGTTCACAACCCTCTAGCCAGTCCCCGACTGGCTCCAAGCAGGCCCCTGGCCGCGATTCTTTTCGCGATTCCCTGCAAGAGAACGCGACGCGGTGCACACCGGCTGATCGTAAGATCGCCCCTTCCTGCGCAACATCCTTTACTATATACGCGATTATGTACACAGCCTCTGATCCTCATGCATCGCCAATACATGCGATAACTTGCAACATAAAATTTGGTGGACATCGGTTGATTTTTGCATCGGCCGAACATTCCACATCTCCTGCACAATAAACAAAAAACATGTCATTCGGCGCACACGTGCTGATCATACCAACACTCCAACCAGCAAGACCCCTTTCAGCAGATCGGTTGGCATCGGCCGGCCTTCACGTCCTGCCAACGCCCACCACCCGATACGAAACAACGGAAACATTCAGTGCATATCTGCGCATCTGCGCACCAATCCCAAGGGGCCCTGGGACACACAAGTAAATAGACACAAGAAAAAGGATTCACCATACTTCCTCATGTTTTCTGGGTTGTTGCTTCCCCCCCCCCCGCTTCCCATATTTTCCTACCTTTTCAGGGGAATCGACGATTACTTGCGTCTGTATGTTTTTCCCTCCTGGCAATCCAACACCCGCGACCCCTGGTAACAAAAAAACAATTTGGCAGATACCCGGTGATGTCCAAAGCGCGCTGCCGGGTCTCCCATGACGTCCCAAGGGCGCCCTCCGTCGCTCCAGCCGCCCCTCAAAAGCGCTCCCCGAGCTCGCCGCCACGAGCAGCAGCATCCACATCCGCAGCCTCACCGTTTCACCGCGCGCGTCGCCGCAGAGAGCGTCAAGGAGCAGATGAATCAGATCGCGAGGGCGCGTCAGATTTTTCAGGAGGTAGGTCTTGTGAGAAGGGACAGAAACAAGGCCCACGCATGACCCAAGATCGCCCCGAGACGGCCAGAATGTGCTCGGACAGTGCAGAGAGTGCAAGCCCGCGTTGGCGCTATGAGGGGATAGGTCGATCTTACGGGAAGGGCTCAGGACGGGGAGGAATGATTTTGTGCAGCCTGTGTGGCCTTAGCACCCCACCACTAACACCCTGACCCGCACAAAGGAAAAGGAGCGAACGGCGTCCCCCCACCCAGAAGCCCTCTCCGGCGCAAAGGGGGGGGAGCGGGGGTGTCCGAAATACTCTCCTCCCGTCTCCAGCGCGATAGGGAGAGGGGGGGGGGTCCGAAACTCCCTCGCTCCCCTTGGAAAGGGAGGGGGGCGGGGGGTTCGAAAACTCCCCCCCCTTGAAGGGAGGGGGGGGCTGCAAACCCACCCACCCATTTTCACGTGGAGGGGGATCCACTGGCGCTCTTCCCCCGCGACCGCCATAGCAACTCCTCCCTCCTCCTCTGGAGGCCTCCGCGGAGACTTCTGGAGACCCTGGCATCCTCGCGTCGACCGTGGCAACAAAACCGGAGGACATAAGTTCTTGACAGTGCTCGGCCTCTGGGGGCCCGTATTGGGCCACAGGATGGTCGAAGACGGATGGGGATGGAAGACAGGAACTTGGGGGAACCCTTACGTTGTGGAAAATCCAGGCGTCGGATGCAAGCCTCTGGCTATTTACCACCAGGGGTCTCCCCAAACGCCCCGCCAACTCCGATACTCTACGAACAGGCACGGGCTGGAAACATGCGACATGCATGCGTACACCACAAGCACTGCCCCCTTGCACTTTGCCAGTGCACGGCGTGTGCACACCACTGCGCGAGTCTCTGCGCACCACAATGACTGTGTACACAAGAGGCCCATGAGTGCGCATACGCACGCAAGGTTGTGTCCACCTTGGGCGCACGCCTGTGCCTCATGCCTGCGCGCATAAACAACAATGTGTACAGAGAGGATGAAAGCGAAATTGGAGGCGGATCACGCTGGATGACGACGCTGCCATCCCCAACAAGGGCTTCTCGGTGCAACCGTGCCCCTCCACACAATTCTTCCTCCTCCTTCATCTCATCCTCCTTCCTCCTCCCCATTCTCCCGATACTCAACCTCATTGCCTCACCCTCTGCCTGATCTTAATCCTCTCCTGTCCCCTTTCCCATTCCTCACGTTCTCCCTGTCCTCCCTCCCCCTCGTGCCTCATCCCATCTTGCCTACTCCTACCCCCCCTCCCTCTTCCTCATGGGAGGCGCTCCGCCATGTCTACGGTGGCGTTGGAAAGCCGGAGAGCGGCCACGATGTCCTGTCAACCCGGCACCGCGTCTGCCCTCTGCACTCCAGCTTGCTACCTGGTTGCCTCCCTCCGATTGCACTTCTGCCAGCTCCTCCTCCTGGGCCCATTGCGATCCAAGCGCGCGCGATGTGAATGTAATCGACCTTCCATCTCCCTCCCTCCCCTCCTCCCTCCTACTGTGGCCTGCGTTTCCCCTCCCCTTTCGTCCTCCCTCCCCTTCCTCCATCGTCCCTCGACATTCCCTGCTCATTCCCCTTTCCCCGCTTCTCCCTCCCTGTTCCTCGGGCGGGCCGATCGTCGTGTCGCCTGAGATGCCCTGCAGCTTTTGACCCTGAAGCTTGGCATCCCAACAGGTACACGATGAAAGGCGCATCGTTTTTTTGTGTGATGTTCCCAATAGCGTTCCGCGCATTCATCTTGCTAACGGAAACCTACAAGAATGGCGACCAATTTTCGAACTGTGGCTCTCGCGTTAGCGCGAAGCGCATCCGCTTTGACAGCTCTCCACAGCTGAAGTCATGGGCGGTGAATGGTTTCCGACATGTGGCTCGCAACAACATGCAATTTGGTTTTTCAGCGCTTCACACAGTGACGATGGATGGATGGGAACTCCTGTTCAAAATGCAAGTGCCGCTGGGAAGCTCAAACAACTTGCGGCCACGCGTTTCTCTCAGCGCAGCAACTACACACATGCAAGGCGGCCGCGTGTTCAAACTGGAACTCACACCGGACCAAGAGTGCCACATAGTGTCAATGTCAAGTCCACATGTGGAACGCGAGTCCTTTTCACGACTGTTTCTGCTGCTGGACACTGCCTACATGGTGATGGTCATGCCTCTTGGTGCCCCTTACAGCTGACGAGGGACAGGCCCGACTTAACCCAGCCCCCCTGCGCGTGGCCGAACAACGCTGTCTGCTCCGGGGCCAGCCCCGCCCGTCGATCCCGCTGCCGTGCACCCAGGAACGGTCGCCTCCATTTCCGCCAGCTTTTCAGATGCACTCCGATCACAGGGAAAAGAATCGGCGGAGAAATCCGGCAGCGGTTGCGGGGATCGTTGTTGGCAGAAATGGTGGCGGGCGTTTCTTTTGACTCGCCAGGGCCCCGTTTTTGGACGCGCGCGGGGCGCCCAGCGTGGGTTTTTGGACGGCCCCGCGGTGGCCCCGACCACCGTTTTTGGACGACGCGGGCCAGTGGGCGATGGTGTTTCGCATGCCAGGGTCCTCGATGCACACGGCCCTGCCGGTCTGGTTGGGAGCAAGGTGCACGCGAGTCTGCGAGTCTTTCCCACGCTCCGCGGTGATTCCTGCGGTGGTGCCCGCCGTGCGCGCACGTATCCTGTACTTCGCGCCTGCACTTCCCGCGCATGCTTCCATGCTTCGCGTCTTCGAATCTTGGGGAGGGAAGGGGGCGAAGGAGAAAGAGGAGGAACGGACACGAGACGAGCGGGGAACACATCCGGAGTTGCGCGCCCAAGGTGGCCCTCGGAGGGCGTCCAGCTCCACCGAGATATGCAAGACAAAAACGCAAGATGGTTACAAGAGGTCCCATCGAAATGCATGACCCCATCATTGTTTGAGCCCCTGCTTCGCCACGGAGTCGAACCATGGGCACAAGAGCGCCGGCGCGGCAAAGGACAACGAATGACGAACATGATGAATATCGATGGGCAACCCAAGGTAATGACCGAGCCCCGTCGGGCTCAACCTTACAGGGCAGATGTTAATACATATGATGTTTAAACACATATGATGTTTAATACATGACTAATGTAATAATAACTTTAATACTTTTAATACTAAATCCCTACACGTTTAATGCATGATCCGCACGCGGATCATGTATTAACAACGGCACTGTAGTTTGATAACATCGCTGTCGGCATCGGCGTGACATAACATAGATCGCTTGGACGTTCCTCTCGAAAAAACACGGCCCCCACGGACACAGTTGCCGCCTCCATTCGTTCCACTGATCGCGCGAGCAGTGCGCCGCGCCCGATCGCCGCCGCGCACGTCGCAACAACGAATGTGAGAGCACTACGCTTTTTCCAGCGGGCTGGGCGACGCAGCGCGGCGGTGACCCGCCCTCGGCTCTGCGGCTGCTCACTGCCGAGCGCGTCGCACGACGAGCGCACGGAGCCGGTCGCACATTGTCCGGGGAGCAGAGCGGGCCGAGGAGGAGGAGGAGGAGGAGGCGGAGAGGGAGGAAGAGGAGGAGGAGGAGGAGGAGGAGGAGGAGGAGGAGGAGGAGGAGGAGGAGGAGGAGGAGGAGGAGGAGGAGGAGGGGTCGAAGAACATCAGGAAGTGAAACAACAACTTGGCGGCTTGCATGTCCGATGTCGGCCAGAACTGAACACGGGACCTCCTGCGCCGCCTCCTCCCCCCCTTCATGCCCCTCCTTCTCCTCCCTCGAGCTTGCAGCTGCGAGTGGTCGCGCTGCTGCTGCTGGCTTGGCGCCGCGCGGGTCTACTCCAGGCCACCACCAGGCAAAAGACGCGCCAGACCAAGAGGTAGGAGAAGGAAGAAGGGAACGACCTCCTCCTCCTCCTCGTCCTCCCCATCCGTTTCCTCCTTCCTCTCTGCCTCCTGACCACCCTTTCGGCGAAGCGTTCGCCGTCCCGCGTCTTCCCTCTGTTAGCTCCTCGTCCCCGTCCAGTCCCCCGCGCCGCGCCCCGGATGAGGCACCCGGCGGACGTCCTTGCTGCCGATGCCAGCCGCCTGCGCGCCCGGGAGGGCCGCTGCCGATGCCAGGCGCCGACATCTGCTGGACGCCGCCGTCGTCGTTCGTCGTCCTGTCTGTCCTCGTCCGCGGCAGCAGCGACGGCGAGCCCAGCCCAAAGCAGGCAGAGGCCACTGCCAGGCTCATGCTGTTCCCGTCGTACTCAAGGACCACATCCCAGAAATCATTTCGAGAGCCCAGAAAAGTGTCGAAGCAGTGTCGAACGAGCATCGCCTCCCAGGGCCCGACACGTGACGACCCTCAAGTTTCGGTACTTCCTTTCCTGGTGCTGGAAATCCTTTCTGGTGGTCGAAGCAGAAAGAGTAGGTTGGCACATCATGGTGCTGGGCAGCCGCATGTGAACCGTACCCTCGGGCCAGGCGAAAGGAGGGGATAGCAAAGGGGGGGTTTGAGAATCAGCTCACGTAGCTGATTTTCCTGGCGCCTCTAGGCGCCGGAGGCGGCTATGTACCGAAGAATGGGCCCCTCGGTGGGGCCGAAACCAGCTGCATGCAGCAGATTTCGTAACCCCCCCTTTCCCAATCCCCCCCTTTCGTCCGGCCCGATACCCCTGCAGGTCAGGACCGCGGATTCAAACTGGCCAGGGCTCCGCACTCGACCGGCGCCTGCAGCCGAGGGGGCCCCGGCGGGTGCCTCCGAGAGCCCCGCCGCGGTCCCCGCGGCCCCTGCCGGCCGCACCTGGCCCGCGCCGCTGCGGAACTCTTCCACGTCTGAGCGCCTGCTTCCCTCTCCGCCGCGCGGCCTCCCGCGTCTTTGCTCTCCCTCTCTCTCTCTCACTCTCTCTTTCTCTTTCTCTCTCTCTCTCTCTCTTTTCTCTCTCTCTCTCTCTCTCTCTCGAGAGAGAGAGAGAGAGAGAGAGAGGGAGAAGCCAATTCGCCATGAACACAAACTTTTGACGCTCCGCGCGAACTTAGATCCGCGCTGGGCCCCCCGCCCTGGCGCTGGCGCGCGGAGCACGCCAGGGGCGGCGCCGGAGGCGCCACCGGGCGGGCCCCGGGAATCCACGCGGAGCGCCAATAGTTTATGTTTATAGCGTTGTTTCTTCTTCGACTCTCTCTTTCTATCTCTCTCTCTCTCTCTCTCTGTCTCTTGCACGCTGGACAATTTGCCTACAGGTGCCCCCGATTCGCCCCAGGCTGGTGCGGACTGCCTCTGCCTCGCCGCCGACGGAGACAGTATCCGAAAGCCCAACGTCGAGTGCACCCGTATGGGGTAGGGCTGGACCACACTCGATCCAGTTCGGCTCGGATCTTCCAGGTCGCCGGCGGAGGAGCAGGAGGAGGAGGAGGACGAGGAGGCGGAGGAAGAGGACCAGGTAGGAAGAGGAGGAGGAGGAGGAGGTCGAGGAGAAGGAGGAGGAGGAGGAGGAGAAGTCAGGAGTGACATCGCGGCGGACGGTGCGCGCGCAGTGCGGTCCTCCCGTGCAGCCCCCTGGAGGCGAGCAGAGCTCTCACAGGTCCAGACCGTGACGCGCGGGTATCCCTCGCGCCCCCTGCGGCCACCGGGGGCCGACGTCACCGTCGTCGTCAGGGTCGACGTCGTTGGCGGGGCCCTCCACGCCGTGCTCGCCAGCGCCGACCTCGGCGTCGACGACGGTGACGTCGTCTCGTCGACGTCGAGGTCGTCGAATTCAACGTGGTCGTCATCGTCGAGGTCGACGCCATCGGCGACGGCGTCGTCATGGTCGTTGCCGTCGCCGTCGCCGTCGCCGTCGCCGTCGCCGTCGCCGCCGCCGCAGCCGCCGCCGCCGCCGTCGTCGTCGTCGTCGTCGTCGTCGTAGTCGTCGTCGTCGTCGTTGTCAGCGTCGGCGTCGTCGTCGTCGTGGTCGTCATCACCGCAAGCCCTACCAACCAACGCGGGCCCAACCACGTCAGAGGGTGCCGGCTGCCACGCGAATGCGCACTGGCCCCAGCGGGGTCAAACGACCCAAGCAGGGTGGCGGGATGGGCCGAAGCCCAATCGATTTGGCCCCAGCGGGGTCAAACAACCCAAGCAGGGTGGCGGGATGGGCCGAAGCCCAATAGATTCGTTGTCCCCTTTGGCTTGCCACAGGGGTGCCTGGCGTGCTAAGGTTCAATTGGTTCTTGGGTCTTCTGGAACTCCCCCTGGGGCGTCGGCGCAACGAGCCAGCCACCAGTAATGCTTGCCCGGAGGTGGCTGTAACAACGAAAAGGACACATGCCCAGCGGAGGTGCCCAGAGGTAGAGCTGACACAACGGAGGCGGGTGGAATCCCATGGGAGTTGAGGAACAACGGCAAGGAACGTCGCAGTCAGGTCGATGCCCTTCCCTGTCTCCTTTCCCTCTTAGGATGGAGGTCCTGGCTGGGGTCCTGACGGGGATCGGGCGGGCGGCAAAGGGGGGTAATACAAATGGGGGGTGAAGAAAAGGACCCTAAAGGGGCCCTTTGGGGCTCCTGTTGGCCACCAACTGGCTCCAAAAGGGGCCCTAAAGGGCCCCAATATTTTATAGCGTATATATGTATAATATATATATATATATATATACATATATACATATATATATATATATGTAGATATACAAGACTGCAGTGGCGCTTCGCGCCATGCACCTTGGTCCTTGAAGTTTGGTATGCAGGCGGAATGGCAGGAAGGCCAAGCCGACAATTTAGCGATAATTCCTGGTTGCCTTTTCCGGCATCGCCGCTATAATGATGTTATTCGTTATCCTTCCTTCATGCTTATTTTTCTTACTTTTCGCTATACACTGCGCATTCTCCCCATCCTCCTCAGCTCTTTTTTGCGGAGGCTCCTCCCTGGAGAGCCTCTAGGGGGCTCACAAAAGTTGTTTCGGGTTTTCTTAAGGCCTTCTGGAGGCCTCCTGGGCCCTTTCTGGGGGCCTCCGGGGGCTTCCTCGGGCCACCCTGCCTCCAACCGCCGTCTCCCTGAACGACCGGATCACGATTTGGAATTCTTCGGAGGGTGTCTTTGGGCCATCTTGGGCCGCCATGGGGCTCTCTGAGGGCCATCTTGGACCCGTGTTGTGCCGTTTTGGGGCTCCCTTGGGCTGCCTAGAAGCCCTTTCGGATGGTTGCGGGGCGATTTGGGAGCCTCCCAGGCGGCTTCGGACGCACAGAAGACCGCCGTCTTGGAGCATCGGGAAGCCGAAAAGAGGAGAACCCCAAAATTCACCAAAACGCACAGAAAGTCAATGACTTTTCATCCGGGGGGCCTTCTTGGGAGTGCTCTTGGAGGCCTCTTTGGGGCCGTCCTGGAGGCCTCTTGGGCCATCTTGAGGTCACGTCGGTCACTCTTGGAGCGCTCTTGTGCTGTCTTGGGGGTCTCTGGGACGTCTCCGATGACACCCTGATCGCCCTAAGTTTGCTGGGAAGGCTTGGCAAAACGCCTTGCGAGGCCCGGTGGCCGCTTCGAGGCCCGTCTGGAGGGCCCCAAAGCCCCAGGTCCCGGGAGTCCCGTTTTGGGGGGGGGATTGGTTTTCCCCCCGCCCGGGCTTATAAAAGTATAGGAAGAGGATATATATATATATATATATATACATATCTCTATATATATATTGTATTAGAACCATCGCGCGCGCTTCGCGCGAGCTCAATTTCTAGCCAGGGTCATGATCATCGTCATCGTTAGCATCCTCATCCCCGTCGTCTTGGTCGTCATCGTCATGGTCAGGATCACCTTCACCATCACCAACACAACAACCATCATTATCACCATTATCATCAGCATCCTGATCACCATCGCCATCATCGTCATCGTACTTTTCAGCATCAACATCCGCATCATCAACATCTGGTTGGTCGTCGTCGACGTCGTCGTCGACATAGTCATCGTCATCATCATCAGCGTCATCGCCGTCATCATCCCCGGTCCACTGCAGTCCCCTTGTCCACCTCTTCCCGTTCTCCCTCTTCCCAACATCTTATACTCTTCATTTTCCACGCCGGCGTCTCACTGGAAGGGATCCCTGTTCCTTCACCTCCTCCTCCTCCTCCTCCTCCTCCTCCTCCCTGTCTTCCCCGCTCTTCGGTGTGCCCCTCCTTTGTGCTCCCTCACCCGCTTCACCTCCTTCCTCCTCCCGAGCCCCCTTCATCCTGTGTTCCCCTTCCCTCCTCGTCCTCAGCATCCCTCCCCGAGCCAAAGCATCCGAGAACGAAGGATTGCAAAAAAACCTAGGATTGCAAAAAACCCTTAGTTTTTTTGCAATCCTTCGTTTTTTTTGCAATCCTTCGTTTTTTTGCAATCCTTCGTTTTTTTGCAATCCTTCGTTTTTTGCAATCCTTCGTGTTTTTTGCAATCCTTAGAACGAGCTGATCTCACAAGAACAGTGTCAAACGTGTCGTTCTGTGCCCGTGGAAGCTCGCGCGCCGCCGAGGGCGGCGCGCCCCTCGCACGGAGCGTGCCCCCTCCTGGAGCTCCACGAACGGCCAGGGACACAGTGCGCACGGCCTCTCTCCTCCTCCTCCGCCTCCTCCTCCTCCTCCGCCTCCTCCCCCTGCTCCTCCTCCTCCTGCTCCTCCTCCTCCTGCTCCTCCTCCTCCTCCTCCTCCTCCTCCTCCTCCCTCCTCCTCCTCCTCCTCCTGCTCCTCCTCCTCCTCCTGCTCCTCCTCTCCTCCTCCTCCTCCTCCTCCTCCTCCTCCTCCTCCTCCTCCTCCTCCTCTCTTCTCTGAGCGCACCCAGTACACGGGTGCCTACTGGAACGCGTGCCAGGAAGCTTTTTTGAAGCATTGTGTCAATCTCTGGAGCCTCTCCGGGCCTTCCTTTCGAATCCGTTGGGGCCTGCGCAACACGAGCAGAAAGGTGTAACCATAAGCTGTTGGAGGTCAGCACGGACTTCTTTGGATGGGACGCGCAAATACATACCAATACTATATGTTATCCTTGGAGGCGCGCGTCCGGCCCGAACGTATGGTGTACCCATCTTGTAGTATCTCGCTTCCCCAGCGGTGTGGCCAGAAAGCGCCCGCCACGACGCACATACAACAAGATTTCTCGGTAGGCGCGTCGCCCCTGGGGGTGGGCGACGCACGCATAGTATCAGTATGCTGGGGTGACGCCGACTTGCAGGAGTGACTCTGGGCAAACTAAGAGTGACCTTCGGTGCGCGGCTGGGGGGAGGGCGACAGACAGACAGGCAAGCCATACACCAGGCGGTGCGTGGGCGTGAGCACAGGTGGAAAAAACAGCGCACTCTTATTCGGACAGCAGGGCGGGGGGGCCCAAACACAAGCGCGCAAGACGCTAATCACTATCGCATCGCGTTCGGCGATCGGGGGACGCCAATGGGCACCGCACCAAAGGTCACTCCGGCGAAGGGTCACCCTTTCGTGGAGTCGACCCTGACCCAGACCCCCGACGTCGTGATCTTTTCACAACGTCCACCCCCAGGGGTCTGGACCCCTTCCCCGGGACCCATTTTTCATCCGAATCCTGAGTCGTTTTGCTCACGGCCCCGGGGCCCGGGGAGGGCCGAATGGCTGAACAAAAAACCCGCCAGGATTTTTTCACCAAGCGCGGGGGCCGGGGGAGCCCCCGCCCGCGAGCAGACCTCGACTCCTGGCGCACCCGCACCCCTGAAGTGGCCGCCGCCCCTCGCACGAGGTCGAGGACGACCCAAAGATCCAACGTGAAAAAATGATAACGGAGGTGTTTCTCAATCTTCGGCCTCTATAATGGCCCTCGCGGGGCCCCTGGACCGTCAAACAAGGACTCAGGATGAAGAACCGGTCCTGGGGAGTGTGTTGAGAATTTGGGGGACTGCGCACTGAAAAACTCACGACATCGGATCTCTGGTGACGGATCTCTGGGTGGCGAAACACTCCCCAATCGGACTCTTTTCGCCACGCGCGGGTGCCTAGGGAGTCCCGGCCCGCGCGCGTACATCGCCTCCCGGCGCAGCCGCACCCCTGGTGAGACGCCGATGGTCCCCCGGGAACACGCTACGACGACGACGACGAGGACGAGGACGAGGACGAGGACGAGGACGAGGACGAGGACGAGGACGAGAACGAGGACGAGGACGAGGACGAGGGCGAGGACGAGGACGAGGACGAGGGCGAGGACGAGGGCGAGGACGAGGAGGACGAGGACGACGAAGCGCGCCGGCCCGCCTCCATCAGCGGCGTCCGGCCGCCGCCGCCTCGGCAGGAGGCCGCCCGCCCTTCCCCCCCACAGCCAGCGCTCCCTCTTCGGCTGCCGGCCAAGACGAAACCAGGACTAAGTCGGGCATGTCCCCCTACAGGGGAATTTTCCACGAAAAAAAAATACCCCAAACATAATCAAAACAACATCCACCAAAAATAGTATGGGGTTTATTTTCTGTTGTATTGTTTGACCTTTTTGAAGTATGTTTGGGGGCCTTTGTTATTTTTCGTCGAAAATCCGATATGGAGTCCCGAACCGGTGCGGTGACAGACCGTGCGGTGACCTCGAAATCCCCCTCACCGCACGGTCCGTCAGCGCACGGTTTTGGGACCTCGGAGGCCCCTGTCGCCCGAGACGTCCTCGGAGAACGACCCGAGTCCTAGAACCGTGCGGTGACCCAGAATCCCCACCTACTCACCGCACGGTGTGGTCACCACCCCGTTTGGGGGCCCCCGGGAAGGCTGCCATAAACATAATTACTCACTGCGTGGAGCTCCCCATATGTGCATCTCATGTTTCATGTCATGCCATAGTGAGCGTCTGTTCATGAGCGTTTGACTATAATAGCGCGTCCACGTGGGCGACAGGGCCGACGAAGACGAGTGACTCCTAATACTAGTCAGTGAGTATGAGTCAGAGTGAGCTTTGAGTATGATTGAACATGGGCCTCCCATTCATTCCCCCTCCTCAATATTCTGGCCGCGAACGGGCCCGTGTCCTACCCCCTGGCGGCTCCTTTTAAGGGTGCTGAAACCAGCGCCCCGCCTGAGACATCCTGACAAAATGCTCTAAACGCAGACGAGTCTGCCAACCATAACAGCCAAACCGCCTGAGACATCCCCACAAACTGGCCGCGAACAGGCCCGTGAAAACACCCCTGGCGGCTCCTCTGAGGGGTGCTGAAACCAGCGCCCCGCCTGAGACATCCTCAAAACCTCATATGAAGACCAACGATGTTGAGCATGACAACCAGCAAACCGCGTGAGACATCCCCACAAAATGGCCGCGAAGGGGCCCGTGCATTCACCCCTGGCGGCTCCCCTTAGGGGTGCTGAAACCAGCGCCCCGCCTGAGACATCCTCCAAATCTGATGTGTGTTGAGTAAGTCAGACAAAGAGAAGGTCTGAGTATGCGTAGATCTGGGTATCAGTAAGTATGTGTATGAGTACGTCTGGGTATGAGTAAGTCTGAGTATGAGTAGGAAGTCTGTGTATGAGTAAGTCTGGGGATGAGTAATTCTGAGTATGAGTGAGTCCGAGTAGGAGGAGACGAGAAGAGGAGGGCACTAGAAGAGGAAGGAGGAGGAGGAGAAGGAGCAGGAGGCGTCCAAGTAATAACAATAACCCCATCTTAGGATAGCGAGACTGAGTGTGAGTAAGTCTGAGTATGACTTGGTCTGAATATTAATGAATCTGATCATGAGAAAGTCCGAGTATGAATAAGTCTGAGTATGACTAGGTCTTAGTATAAATGAGTCTTGGTAAGAGTAAGTCTGTGCATGAGTAAAGTTGGGGAGGAAGAGAAGAAGGAGGAGGGAGGAGAGGAGGGGTTCTGGTTCTGGTTGGAGCCGGCGCCGTCCAAGTGATAACAATAATCCCATCTTAGGATATGGGAGGGGAGGAGGGGGATGGGAGGGGGAGGGGGAGGGGGAGGGGGAGGGGAGGGGGGAGGGGGAGGAGGGGGGGGAGGGGGAGGGGGAGGAGGAGGGGAGGGGGGAGGGGAGGAGGAGGGGGAGGAGGAGATCTCAGACCCCTGGGGTGCTGGACCCCTTCCCCCAGGAGGCGAGAGATGACACACACAGGAACACCCGGAGGCCCTCGCGGGCTTCTCGGGTCGGCGCCGACGCCCCCCTCCCTTGACCGCGCGGACCTCCAGATACACCCTGCGAAATGCTTAAGAAATCATGGGTTAAGAAATTCAGAGTCTCAGAAAGTGAATAAAACCCAGAACTTCTGTCAAAATCTGGGGATTCACATTGAAAACTTAAGAATAATCGAGACTCTGGCCGAAAACTTAGGTTTTCTTAAGCATCGCCTGGGGAGTATTTATGTTTATGTCATTCTTCGGTCCCCCACGTTTGGGGGAGGATCAATCGGAGGGGCATGCCTGGGCCCCCCCGGACTGGGGCGCAGAAGAACACACGAGGCATGCCGAAACGGAGCCAGGACGGAGGTGCAGACATCGGGTGAGGATCCATCGGGACTCTCTGAGATCCGATGATGGCCCTGGAGAATGTCCCGGGCGCCGCGGCCGCCTCCGAGCGTTGCGGAACGTTCTGAGAGCGTTCCAGAGCGCTATGGAGAAGATGTGCCCTCGTCCTGGCCACGCCCGACCCTCCCCCCTTCCTGTTTCGGCTCCGGAGGAGGAGGAGGAGGGGAAGGAAAGGGAGGAGGGAGGAGGAGGAGGAGGAGGGAGAGGAGGGAGGAGGAGGAGGAGGAGGAGGAGAAGGAGGAGGAGGAGGAGGAGGAGAAGAAGGAGGAGGAGGAGGAGTCAACGAGCCCAACGGCTCATAAGGTGCTGCCATGCGTGAGCTGGCGGTCGAGCCGCACAGACGCGAGCACTTGACTCATGAAGGGGCCCCAGGACACACGCAAATAAATACACACAAATAAAAACATTCCCCATATGTTCCTATGTTTTCTGGGTTTCTGTCTTCCCCCCACTTCCCATATTTTGCCATGTTCTGGGGAATCGAGGATTAATTATGTCAGTGTGCTTCTGTTCCTCCTGAGACTCGTCTGCAGGCCGGCTCATGGCCCAAGCCTTGCGGCTGGCCAGGATGCGGTCTCGAGCTCGTTCCGTGCTCCTGGACCACAGCGTGGGATTGCCTGTGCCTGTTCCCGTTCCCCCCACTCCTTTTCCAGCCCGCTGGGGCGGGGGACCCATAGATCCCGCGCGGTGAACAGATCCAGGCGGAGGCATGATTGCTAGGTAGCGACATCCGAACCCGACCCCCGCCAACCATCGACCCCCCTGAAACGATGGGAGTCGGGGGTAGGGTTCGGAGTTCGCCCCATGTTCGCCGAATTTCGAACTCTACCCCCGCCGCCCATCGAGATGGAACTTGTCTTGTATTCATCACCCTTAACGTCCGTTTAGTGGGGGAACAGCAACGTGGTCGGGCCCCGCGGGGGGCGCCCTGGTGCCAAACGACGATGACGACGACGACGACGACGACGACGACGACGACGGCCGCCTCTGAAGGTCTCCAGAGGTCGGTCTCAGAAGGTCTCCGAAGGCCTTGGGTGGCGTCTGAAGGACCTCCGAGGCCCTTGGTGAACACGCACACGACGATGAGGATGAGAACGAGGACCAGGACGACGATAGCTGCCTGTGAAGGTCTCCATAGGTCTTGGAGGCCTGAAGAGATCCCTGGAAGCCCTTCGAGGCCCCCGAAGACGACGACGACGATGACGCCGACGACAAAAACAAAGACAAACACGATGACGACAACGACGACGACGATGGCGGCGGCGGCTGCGACGACAACACCAACGACGATGACGAGGATGAGGACAAAGAAGAAGACGACGACGACGACCACGACGACGGTGACGACGACGACGGCTTCAAAGACAGCAAAGACGGCAAAGACTACAAAGACGACGACGTCGGCAGCCTCTGAAGATCTCGAAAGGTCTCCAAAGGTCTCTGGAGACCTCGGGCAGTCTTGAGACCTCAGGCGGTCTCCAAAGGTCTCCGGAAGCGTCTTGAGGCCCTCCGATGCCCATCAGCACCACACCGTGCCTGTGAACACGGCACCATACTGTGGGGGGCCGCCCGTGCGCTCGTTACCGGTACCCTCCCGTAACAACGGACGTTACAGGTTCCACAACTAAGAAGTAGATCGTGCCTGGATCGTTGATCGGCGAGGGTGTGGTACCACACGCTTTACTGCATGCACCTCCCCTAGCTACACGAGTGCAGTTATCATGCTGCCATGAGGCAGCAAGGAGCGCAAAAGAAGGAACGAGCGGGCCTTTAATGGCCGCGGCACGCCTCGGCCACGAATGGGTCCCACGATCTAGATTTGGGTCGGGCATGTCCGCCTACACGCGGGTTTTGGAGACAAACAAAAAATATTCAAACATATTCGAAAAGAAGAACACTCAACAACATCGTCCCCTGACTATGTTTTTAAACCTTATCGGACACGAACGGGAAGCGCCGCTTTATACCAATGGACTTTTAGGCCGAAGAAGAAGAAGATAAGGAAGGCGAGGGCGACGACGAGGAGCTGACGAGGACGACGTGGAGAACAGGAGGATCGCGAGGAGGAGCATGAGGATAACGATGAGAAAGAGAAGCACAAGGACGAGGCCGAAGAGAACGAGGGCGAGTACGAGGAGAAATGCGGGGGACGATGACGACGACGACGACTGAGGACAGTCAGAGACAATTGGAGAAGAACGTTGAATCAGGAGAGGGTCATGGTGACCCTGTCGGGCTAGCCTGGGGGCTCCTGGCGCCGCGCGGGGCTGTCTTGGGGCCTGTTCGGAGCCTCTTGGGTTCTCTTGTGGGCTTCTGGGGTCTTCTTGGTCTGTCTGATCGTGTCGTGGAGCTCTTTGGGAGCTCTCTTGGGCCGTCTCCGCGCCATCTTGGGCCGTCTTTGGGCTTCCTTGGGCCGTTTGGAAGCTTCCTGGGGCGCTCCCGGGAGTCGTCATCGTCGTCGTCGTCGTTGTCGTCGTCGTTGGTCGTTGGTCGTTGGTCGTTGGTCGTTGGTCGTTGGTCGTGGTCGTCACACGTGGGCCGCCGTTGTCCGAGAGAGCCCCACGACGGTCCCAGAGCGCTCGAGGACGGCCCAAGAGACCCCTCAAAGAACCCCAAGAACGGCGATATGATTTCGATGCCCCGCTGAAATAACACAGGCCTCGTAGGGGCTGTGTTCGAGCCTCTTGGGGTCTCTTTTGGGCCTCTCGGGGGCCAACTTGGGGCCTCTTGGGGGCCTCTTTTGGGCCCCTGGGGGCCTCCGGGGGGCCTCTTGGGGCGGAAGGC